AGCACTGAGATCAAGAAGGATGAGTATAGAAAGAGAACCAGAATCAGAAGTTATAAGAAGATCGTTAGTGACTTTGACCAGGGCAGTTTCTGTGCTGTGAAGTTGACGGAAGCCAGATTGGAGGGGTTCGAAAAGGTTGTTTGTCATGAGGTGGTTATGTAACTGAAGTGTGACAGCACGTTCTAGAATCTTAGCAAGAAATGGTAAGTTGGAGATAGGGCGAAAATTGTTAAGATTGTCGAGAGCCATGTTAGGATTTTTTGGCACAGCAGCAGTTTTGAGGACCTTTGGTACAATGCCAGTGTTCATGGATTCATGTACAATATTGAGGACAATGGGACAGAGAGAAACAGGACTGAAATAAAGTGGTGGGAATGGGATCTAAAATAGATGTGGTGGGTTTCATGCGTATAACATGTTGATTGAGGGATGCTGAGTCAAGAAGAGAGAAGCTAGAGAGAAGGGAACCAGAGAAGTTGGATGAGGAGGGAGGAGGTATGGAAATAATATGCATAGTGGAGAATGTGATGCCGTATGTTGTCAATATAGAACTAAAGAAATCTAAGACTGTGTTGCAAAGTTGTGACGAGGAAGGTAATGTGGTGGGGCAGTTTGGCTTGTGCCAGAAAAGATGTCTGGGGTTGTTTTGGTGATTTTCAATGATGAGAGAAGTAGGTGGATCTAGCAGACTCTATAGTAACCTTATATTCAAATAAGTAATCTCTCCAAGCCTGAAAATGTACATCTAGGCCAGAAAGACACCACCTACGCTCAAGTTTGCGAGAGGCTGCCTTCATGGATCGCAGATGGTCATTGTACCAGGGGGCAGGGCGAGAGAAGGAGATGGTTCGAGTTTTTATAGGAGCAAAGGTGTCGAGGGTTGGTAAAAGAGCACCGTCAAGTAACTGTATTTTGTCCTCTAGAGGGTCAGAGGAAGAGAAACAAGATAAGGAGGACAGAACAGAATTTGCAAACCTTGGGTGATCAATTGATCGCCAGTTGCAGAAATTTACAGAGTGTGGGGGGAAAGTGTTAGAAACAGGTAATTCCAAACAGGTAATTCTTATTCGTTTAAATAAGTTTGTATGTTTATTTATTCATTTATTTCTTATTCGATTTGAGCTGCACAAGATAGCACCAGAGACAGCAGTATCTCTGCTTGTCATTGTTGTTCAGGAAAGAGTGAATGAAGAAGTCTTGTCAAGTGCAATAATTTGGTCATCGATAAAAACAGTTGTAGGACAAGGAACAAAATTTAGAGAAAACTTAAGCTTCTTAAGGATAAAACTAAAATTCAGTCTTCAAATTAAGGCAAATGAAAATTTAGGACGTTAAAGTGCTAGAGGTGTAAATAAATGTAAAAATACAAAAATATAAATGAGCAAACAGTTTTGGAAATATAGAAGGTGTACCTTAAATAAGCAAACAGAAAAAAGCCATGACTAGACATAGTGCAGAAGAGGGATGTAGGAACACTTGCAAAAGCTTAGATGTACAAATCCCAGAACGGTGTGTTTTACAAAAGAACATGCAAACATGAAATAGATTTGGCAATGAGTGAGGGGTTTGAATAATCAGGTTCATTTCTGGCAGGGAGAGTACGAAGGTTTGATGGGATAAAGTCAGAAAATTAGCACACATAAAAAACACCAATTTTGTCAGACAGCCTTACATGAATTAAAAGGAAATATGGTTTCATGGAAGGCTTCTCAGATAGTTGGGTAATCAGGTAGATTGCCAGGTTAAAGGATTTGTAAATAGATATTTAGTTAAAGCAAGTCAGTTTTTTGCAAAACCATTGCAAGCCTTTGTCACGAATGAAAACTCTAAAATGTTTTAGTTAAGCCAGAACTATAAAATAATTTATCCTCTGTGAGATGCTAACATCTCATAGTGGGTTTCTAACACTGTGTATAGGTTCCATCCACACAGTGCCTTTACCTCCATCCATTTTCTAATCTCTTTAATAGTACAGGATTTGGATGCTATCCAAGCCAGCAACAGACTATCCTCCAGCGATGTAGGGTGCATACCAATGTGAGCCCGAAAGCACTACATTATTAATAATATCTTCTGTGTCGCATTAACATTGGAATGTTCTTTTTTACAAGTGTAAAAAGAGGCAATACACAACGTGTCTCCTCTATAACTCTTCAGTTTACAGAGAAATTCTGCCAGAGCCTCACAATATTGTCCAATAATACTCTTCTTGTGTCTAATTTTTAGTTTAACAGGGTTTGCGCTATAAGCACATTGTTTAATGGGAATGACATTACCCACCTCTAATATCACTGTACAGCACTTGTTTGAGTCGGGAATGCCAAACCATCTCTATTGGATTTAAATCTGGGGATTCAGCTGGAGTTTTCACTCAGTTTTCACAAGCTATCTCTTGTTGATTTCCCTTTTCTTTTCCATCATTATTTGGTATAAGAGAGTCTTCTTGATTTTGGCCATAGTCCATCTCCTTACAAAAGCTATAGTGCAGTAAGTTGTCTGTCCCGACAAATGGTACACAGCCAAAATATTGTGTTTTATCTCTTCTCTTTTCAGCATGGAATAAACTTATTACTTGTTCCTTTACTGTGACCACTGCATGATTTCTTTATCTGTTTCAGCTAAATGATGGGCATTAAATTAGTCAGAATCTTGGAGTGCCAATTGTAAAAATAACCCTTCTTCATCATTTGTTTAACTATTGTAGTAGGGCGCTCTGTACGAGTTTGTCAAGATCACAGTTTCAAAATAAAAACACATCAAACCTTAGATTGGATGAGAACATCATGATTGTTTCGCAAGGATCTGAACTTTCAATGTTTTGTGATATTTAGAAATACCAACAAATTCAATATAGTGTCGATAATATTTATTATCAGTAATAACTACAGTAGTGGCAGTACAGTAGTTGAATTTATTCGTTGTTATTAATAAATCACTTAGCTTTGAAAATGTTGTGATATTTAGAAATATAAAAAAATTCAATATAGTGTCCATAATATTTGCTATTTTAGTTTTTCAAATAAATGTTTATTTATTAAAAGAAAACCCCACGGTGACAGCTAGGTTAAAAACCCCTACCTTCAAGAATGCAAGGCACCGCTTAAGCCATTATGCCACACATATAATCATGTGGGAAAGAGTTAAACTGATGCAGACATTTCTAAAGAAAATGGACTGCTGTGATAATTTGAGCTACAGTATATGCATATACTGTAATTATATCGTTCTTAATTTCTTTAGATACACGATTCCATATTATATTCCATATTAATCAAATTCTAAAAAGTATGTTTTTTATTGCAATTAACGAGGGTAAGTATTCACAGAAATGGTTAAAACATTATAACTTTTTACGAAATATATAAACTTAATATAGTCAGAAGGAGCACGTAAACACTTTTCCAAAATAACCACAGTATGTAACAGAATGAAAGACTTTGATGCTTAAAATGTTTAGGAAGAAAGTGGAATACTGGTGTGAATTTTTTATTTAAACTACCAATACCAGCCATATACAGTTTACATAATATGTTTATGTTCTTAAATTAATATAGTTTATGACCTTCAGATGCATTATCCTCCTCAGACTAACTAATGGGATAGGCTTTATTGTTTGCATACAAGGTTTGCATACAACACCTCAATAGTAGGGATGTTCAGAGAATACAAAAAAGCAGTTACCTTTACACAGCTTGGTAACATCAAGATTTCCATGGTTACAAGGAATTTGTCAGGGTGTATGGTTTCGATCATGTTAAGAACAATTAGCTATTAAGAGAAGTTGTGGTTATCTGTCTGCTTAGAATTCCAGAGATCATAGTACCTGCCCTCCCTTACACCTTGAGATAAGATAATATTTCAGAGATAATCAAAATTCCACAGGATTAACCAGGAGTTTCATCAGCACCCTCTTGTATGTTGCTTCATAACCTGAGAGACATAAAATTAAAAACTGCCTGAAAGTAGGCAGGTCTGTCCAGTCTGTTAACACTACCTTATTCTCTCTGCATGTGTCTACTGTAATTGTACATTGAGATATAAAAACACATAACTGATAATCCCAATTTAAATTGATATACAATATCTATATATAAACTATAATAATTTGAAAAGGTACATTTTGAGTTCTTGCCATTGTATCGGATGATACTGACAGACAAAATAGAAAATTATCCTGTAAAATTGCAATAGTACAATTTTGCTTTTTAGCTGGTATGTACAGTAAACAACATGTACTAAGCAGATAAATGGATCATAGCCCACAGTGGTTAAAAGATTATCTGTATCTGTTGTAGATGTTAATGAGTGTGAAGAGGATCAAGGAATCTGTGGCAGCAATGCGACCTGTAGGAACACAGATGGCAGCTACAGGTGTGACTGTCACCTAGGGTTCAGCAACAGGGGAAATTCCACAGGACACTGCTCAGGTGAGGACTGAAAAATGCTGATGGATAGAGAAAATGTGACTTGATGTGATTGTGTTCATAAAGCTCAATGAGTATATACAGTAGTCTGAGGCATTAGGAACCATGTGTCAGTGCTGTCTACAGGAGTAGAGGAACATTTTATTTTATCTTAGTTTTAGGATTTCATTTAAAAAGGTGTGGATCTTTTGTTATTACCATAGAAATAAAAACAAAACTAAACAAAACACAAGCCACTATTATTTAAGCTTCTTTGCACCTCTGCCAATTTTAATTGATAATCTAATAAATAATAATCAAATCTGATCCTATTTAAAATTTTTATGATCATCATCAAGAGCATATATATTATAATCATATGATGGCACATGGAATATGTGATTTATGTGCTTTGTTGTTAAAACCTACAAAACAGAATTTTAAATATTATTTACTGCTTTTAATATAAATATTCAACTCTGATATTGAAAAAGAAAATGCTTTGTAATCAAAGTTCAAGTAAATACAATATGCAGAATGAATCTAGCTCTGATTAAATGGAAAAGGTATTTAAAAAAAACACAGCCACAGTTTGTAATTGACTGCTGAATGAACCTACAGCAACTTAGGATCCTGATGCACCCTGATGAGAAGACAGCTGAAAAACTGGGGAGAGCTGATGGTAGGCAGCAGTGCAGTGTAGAGTGGAATTAATTACCTGTCTGAGAACAATACTAAGTACTTCAAGTGGTGTTGACAACCCTTCTGACAATTTTGCCATGGAAATGGGCAGTTTGTATAATTGATTCGGTGATTGAACAACGTCCGTGGTGATACAGGAACTTGAAACAGTACTTATGGGCGCAAGCATTAAATTATTTTCACAACAGAAATGAAGAATGCAAAAATAAAACTAAAATCTATAAAAAATATTCTAAATTGAAATGTTTAATTTCTTTGCAGGATTTCAAAAAGTTACAGACTGTACAGCACTTTTAAAAGAGGTAAGTTCTAATGCAATGTGGAATGAAATTAAATGTTAATTTGTTATTAATAAGTCATATTCCACACTGTACACCTGTATTGAGACTGTTATGACACAGCAAGGCACTGCAGACAGCAGTGGAGAAGTACAGGCTGAACAGTGAGATCAGGGGCTATAATGCTGCTGTGTGCAGCAGATGACTGTGGAGGGCTATTGGCCAGAACCCAAGTGTGTGAGTTTGTGGCTTTTCAGGTAATTTCAGAAATGAAAGAGAAGGCTCAGCCAGAGATTGCTGGAAGCAGCCAAAGGCTCATCAGAGTGGAGTGACGTAGAAAAAAAGCACTGAATGTCTGGAAGCACCCCAAGGTGAACGATGCAAGCTCTCATAAGCTAAATGTCAGGATCAGTCAAATACAAAATGAACTGATCCTCATAGAGAGCTCAATGTCAGAGCAATTCCAGAGTGGTGTGTTGGGAATAATAGCTTGGAAGGCTAAACCAAGAGGCATCCAGCATGAGTCCTCAGCTCCATGAGAAATCTGCTATAACTGAGACACAATACATTTGGAAGTTACACTTTTCCGAATTGTGTTTTAAGTATTTTCTGGATCTACTCCAGAGTATTGGTCACACTAAACAAGCTGTATTCTATGCTTGAGAATTGTGTCATGGATAGTGCCAGCTAGTAGACCCAGACAAGATCCCCCGGTCCCCCTGCAGCACAGATCGTTGTAGCGCCTCTGCTGTACCCCCGCCTGAGTCAGGCGGCTTCAGGCGAAGCTGTGTACTCGCAGCATCCACTGCTGCAGCTCCCACTCGTAATCCAGCCCGGCTGGCTGTGCCAGTACTCCTCCTGACGGCGAATCAAATCCTAAATCCACTGGGGTGCGCAGTTCCCGGCCTAGCATGAGCAAGGCCGGGGTGCACCCGGTGGACTCCTGCACAGCAGTCCGGTAGGCCCAGAGGGTGTGGGGTAAGTGGCGGTTCCAGTCCCACTGTGGCCGGTTGAGTGGAGAGGGTCCGGTTAAAACACTCCACCAACCCGTCGCTCTGGGGATGCAGCGAGGTGGTCTGCGTTTTCTAAATCCCCAGGTGCTGGCACACCACAATGAACACCCGGGACTCGACAAACATCCTCTCCTGCAGGGTGTTGGCTACGGTGGATGCGCTCTGATCTAGGAGGGCGTAGGCCTCGGGCCACTTCATAAAATAATCCATCGCCACCAGGACGAAGCAGCTGCCCACCTCGGTGCACAGAAATGGGCCAAGCACATCCACCCCCACCCCTCCATGGGTGCCCCCACCTGATGTTGCTGGAGGGGCGTCCTTAAGCGCCCAGGAGGATCCTTCTGGGCAACGCAAACTGCACAAATCCGGCAGAACTGTTACACATACCGGTGACATAAACCACAATAAAAGTGGCCCTGGAGTCGCTGCAGGGTTTTCGCGGAGCCGAAGTGCCCCACGCCCGGCTGGCCGTGCACCACTTGGAGAACCACAAACTGTCAACTTACCTTGCCGCTGGAGGGCACCTGCCACCCCTGGCGCAGCACCCCGTCCCTCACTTCCAAGGCCTCCCACAGTGTGCAGAGTGCATTCACGGACTTGGGATGAGGGGCGAACTCCTCCCGCACGGGCTGGGTCCCTGCCGCCTTCCAGCGGAGCACCAGCCCGTTGTCAGTGTCTGCCTCCTGCTGCTGCATCAGGTCTGACAGGCCCCCACCAAATGGCCCGCTCAGGGATGTGGCCGCGGCGCTCACTTCCCCCTCGCCACGGGCAGCCTCCTCGTGCTGGTCCCATTTTCGCATTTTCCGGGGTTGAGCCTCAACCCAGCCCGCCGGATGCAAGCCAACACTAAATGCATGTTTGCCAGGGCCTGCTCGAAATCCCAGGCATGCATGAGGAAATCGTACACCATGCACTCGCTCCGGGGAACCGAAGCCAGCACTTGCTCCATCATCCGCTCAAACGTTGCCGGGGCATTACACAGTCCAAAAGGCATGACTGTGAACTGCCAGAGCCCTTTGCCAATGGAGAAGGCCATCTTTGGGTGAGCTTCGGGGGCAAGCAGAACCTGCCAGTAACCGCAGCAGAGATCGAGCGAGCTGAACCAGGTTGACCCGGAAATGTAGTCCAGCACATCATCCATCCAGGGCAGTAGATAGCAGTCTTTCCGGGTGACCTCGTTCGGCTTCTTGTAGTCTACACAAAACCTCCACGAGCTGTCCTTCTTCCGGACTAAAACAACCGGGGAAGACCACGGACTCGTGGACGGCTCGATCACTCCCGCTTCAGCCATCTCCCGAACTTTCTCCTCCTCAGCCGCCCGCTTGACGTAGGCCAGCTGCCAGGGCGGAACACGAATGGGCTGCGCATCCCCGGTGTTGATCCCGTGCTGTATGAGAGCCTTGCTGGTGCAGTCCTCATCCCTCGCCACGAACAAATCCTCGCTCTTGGCAAGGAGAGACCGCAGCCTCCGTTGCTGGTCTCGAGTGAGGCCCTCGCTGCTACGCTGCAGCAGCTCCCCCACAGCATGCCTTATCTCACCGTTGCTCTTGGCCCCTGCATTCTGGAGTCAGCTCTGGTACGCTCGGCTCCAATAGGCCCCGACGATGCCCGCCGCTGCTGCCACCACTTCCCGCTCTGGTCAGCCCGCGCGCCCCGGACACCTCCTGCCCCGCCCGCCGCGAGATGGATTAGTTCCCCCTGCCCCACCAACTCTCGCCGGCCCAAGTCAAGGCAACCACCTACCTGCTGCAACCATACAGTCCTTGCAAATTGGAGCGAGGTAGAAGGGGTGTTTCACCCTCGCAGCCCCAAACTGCACGGTGATCGCCCACTTGCCGAAGACCTCTGTGCACTGCCCCGTCACTGTCCTCAGGCGCAGGCTGGTCGTTTCCCATTCTGGGGGTCCTGCTGCCTCAGTGCCCGGCAGGCCGCAGCAGGGTGATGGTCAAACTGGTGTCGACGAGGGCCTGGCAGGGAAGAAATAAGCCCCGGCTGTGGCCAACCCTTCCCACGGCAGCAGACGGGATGAAGTGCTGCTTCTGCCTTTCTGGAGTGGGGGTAGCGTCATTCAAGGGCGGCCTTCCCCCCTTTAGGTCACCCCGCTCCCATTTCCCAACGGCCTCCAGAGTCCCTGGGCGATGTGCCCCCTCTCCCCCCTGCGTCACCGTGCTGGCCGTCTCCTCCTGCCCATCTGATTCCCTGTGCGCAGCCTCCACTGCCCGGCAGGGAGCACCCCTCTGTTGGTGCCCACCGGTCTCCTCGAATATGGCATCAGCCTGCACAGCCAGAGCCAGGGTCTGCTCCAAGGACACTGGTGGGGCCAACATCACCTCAGTCGGCACAATGGCCCGGAAGAATGCCTGGACCTCCTCCAGGAGAGTAGGGTAGGGTAGAATAGGGTGCTGCTCTCTGGGTACCGTGGGTTTTCTTCATATGTCTGATATGATTTCCTCTCACAGTCCAAAACATATTGGTAGGTTAATTGGCTTACGGGAAAACTGGCCCTGGTGTGTGTGTGTTTGTGTCTGGTTGTCCTGTGATGGACTGGTGCTATGTACAGGGTGTATTCTGCCTTGTGTCCGTTGCTTGCTGGGATAGGTTCTAAATCCTCTTTACTGAATATAAGAGATTAGAAAATGGATGGAAGAAAAGGCACTGTGTGGATGGAACCATACACAGTGTTAGAAACCCACTCAGGATAAATTATTTTATAGTGCTGGCTTAAGGAAACACACTATTGCACATCAGTATCTATACCTAGTTAGTTATTTAAACAAATTGCCTCTAAATATAAACATCTTAAGATGCTGGCTCTGTGGATCAGCATCAGCTATGTTTGCCCACTCCTTCAATTTATGTGCATCCAACACACAGTTCAATGCTAGCAACTACACAAAACGTAAAATACAATCCACATTTCAGTATCTACAGATGCAGCCATTCAAAATGCATAGTACAACCCCGTAGCACTCGAAATTACCCACAGCTCATCGCGTTGTACCGTGGTACGTGATTTGGCTGGAAAAAAACCCAATAGGTTTAATATCTTTACTGTGCATGTTTTAATCCACTTATTATTGAATATTTATATGGACATTTAGACATTTTAGTAGCTGAGCACAAAAAGAAGAGGAGCATAATGCGTCTGAAGGTCATAAACGATATGAATTTGGGAACATAAACATATTATGTAAACTGTATATGGCTGGTATTGGTAGTTTAAAATAATACACACTAGTATTCCACTTTTTTCCTAAACATTTTAAGCATCAAAGCATTTCATTCTGTTACATACTGTGGTTATTTTGTAACAGTTTTATGTGCTCCTTCTGACTATATTAGGATTATATACTTTGTAAAAAGTTATAATGTTTTAACATTTTCTAAAAATACTTACACTCGTTATCACAGTAAAAAACGCATACTTTTTAGAATTTGATTAATAGGGAATATATAATATGGAATTGATATAAATATATTCATATACTGTAGCTCAAAATGTTACAGTAGTACACTTTCTTTGGAAATGTCTGGATCAGTTTATCTTATCCCCATGTGATTGCGTGTTGGGTATAATGGCTTAGGCATGTGCCTTACATGCCTGAGGTCAGGGGTTTGAGCCCAGCTGTCACCATGTGTTTTCTTTTAACAAATAAACATTTCTTTGAAAAACTAAAATAGCAAATATTATGGACACTATACTGACATTTTTAATATTTCTAAATATAATATAAGCTAAGTGATTTATTAATAACAACAAATCATTTCAAAATGCTACTGTACTGCCACTACAGTATAGCTTGTGGGAAATACATTTATTTGACCTGCAGCAAAGTTTAACTCATTCAGAGTGCCCTACATTCTTTCTTCACAAAATTCTTTAAGTTAAACAAATGAAGCAAGAAGGGTTATTTTTACAATTGGGACTCTGAAATTCTGACTGATTTAATTCCCCTCATTTAGCTGAAATGGATAACGAAATAATGCAGTAGTTACAGTAAGGGAACAAGTAATCATTTTATTCCATGCTGAAAAGAGAAGAGATAAAACACAACATTTCGGCTGTGAAGCCTTCTTCAGGTGTGAGCTATTACCCTATTACAGTACTTGTTCCTTTGCAGATTATGCATGCTGACGCAGTCACCCACCTGAAGTAGTTACAGTACATGTATTGCAAGGCGCTGTTTTAATTAACAGACACTCCGACTCAAACCTGTGTTGTACAGTGATATAGACATGGATTATGTCATCCCCGTTAAACAATGTGCTTATCGCACAAATCCTGCTAAACTAAAAGTTAGACACAAGAAGAGTATTATTGGACAATGTTGTGAGGCTCTAGCAGAATTTATTTGTTAACTGAAGAGTTAGAGGAGACTCAATGTATATCGCCTCTTTTTACACTTGTAAAAATGAACATTCCAAAGTTTATGCGGCACGGAAGATATTATGAATAATGTATAGTAGCGCTTTCGGGCTCACGTGGGTATGCACTCTACACCCCTGGAGGATCGAACCCGGGACTCCGGTGTCACTTAACAGGGTGAAAAAATAATAAAAATGCCAATGTTAACGTCATATTTACAATTTGTTGAAAATAAAAATGTAAAGTTCTCTAAAGCTTTCTCAGTCATGTACGTGAATTCACCTAGGGAGCTGTGTAAGCATGCGTAGGCAGCAAAAGATCAGCTAAACAGGGAAGAAAACACTATCAGAGAAAACAATGTTTCAGGTGTGAAGAATACAGATCCCCAATTCAATTGCATCCTAAATGTGAGACATAGGGTTTGCCTGATCTGTCTGCTGCTAAAAGCGGACAGATCAACTAAACAGGGAAGAAAACAATTATCTTCTGTCTGCTGCTGAGGCTGGGAGAGAAAATCATGCCGGGCTTTTCAATAGAATTGCATTAACTTGCTAATGCGTCTATCACATTTCCTGACATATTGTGTTAATTTTCAGTATTTAATATTGTGTTCGATTCAAGGAAAGAAACATTTCCCAGATATTAGCTCATCAGTATAATACACTTTTATCTGTGCCATTTGTTGGGACAGACAACTTACTGCACTCTAGCTTTGGTAAGGAGATGTACTATGGCCAAAATCAACACCAAATCTCACACCAAATAATGAAAATGAAAAGAAACGGGAAGTCAACGTGAGACATTGTACGGCATTTGTCTTCCATGCACATCTTTGTTTGTGAAAGCACAGTGAGACGACATTATAAAGGGGAGAGGAGGGAAAGAGAATCTAAACCAAGGACGATGCAAAGGTAAATAACTTTTTAAAAATGTTTTATTACATGTGAATACAACAACACACTATTTTTATAAAAAACTAACTGTTGATCTCTTTTTTTTCCAAGTCCTGTTGTGCAAGCCATTGACAAACTGACGGATGAAAATGATGAGCTATCAGCAGTGCAAGTTCAAAGATGTGGACTGACCTCGGTGCAAGCGTGACTCCAACATCAATAAGAAGAGTGCACAGAAAGCTTGGATGGAGATATAAAAAAACCAACACATGCCGCATGATAAGGGTAAAAAATAAAGAGGAAAGGCTCATGCAAGCGCTTCAATGGATTGAACAGGGAGAGGCATTTCATTATGTACTTTTCACAGATGCATTTGTTCTGTCTTGCATTGTCAGCTTGTGAATCAATAAAAGCATGTTTAATGCATTTGCAATTTTAATCAAAATGGGGGTAATACTGTACTTTCCAAAGAAAGTGTACTACTGTGATAATTTGAGCTACAGTATATGAATATAATTATATCGTTATCAATTTCTTTAGATACACGATTCCATATTATATTCCCTATTAATCAAATTCTAAAATGTATGCATTTTTACTGCGATAACGAGCGTAACTATTCTCAGAAAAGGTTAAAACATTACACATTTTTACAAAGTATATAAACTTAATATAATCAGAAGGAGCACGTAAAAACTTTTCCAAAATAACCACAGTATGTAACAAAATGAAAGACTTTGATGCTTAACGTGTTTAGGAAAAAAGTGGAATACTGGTGTGCATTTTTTATTTAAACTACCAATACCAGCCATATACATATACAGTTTACATAATATGTTTATGTTCCTTAATTAATATAGGTTATGACCAATCTCCTTGAAACTAAAGCGGATCCCAGGTGCAAGTGACTTCATAACGCATTATAGAAGGCATTATGATATATTTTTATGCATCAGTTGAAGCCTCATGACTAAAAAAAAACAGGATTCACTTTTTTCTGTCTCTCTCAACCGCTGCTATTCAGGCTCAGAATGGTTAAAAATGGCAACAGGTCAGACAGGCAGAGGGAAGGGGAAGGGGTGAAACTGTTACCTGTCCTGGATAAAGCGGATAGAAAACAGGTGGATTTACACCCGTGAAAAACATTCCAATTTTAATGAGATATGGAAGATATTATTCATAATAAATGACCTTGGACGGTCTTTAAACTGAAAATGTATTTATCCGCAATTCCATATTACATATAGTATGATTGGAAACAAATACGTGATCGGATCAACAAAATGCTTTGAAGAAAGAGGCGCTCTTTTCCTCTGGTTTAACAGTCTCTGCAGCAACAAAACAATCAGTTTAAACAAGAGAGTGTGGTGTTACTTTTTGTCAATGAAAAAATAAAGTATTTTCTGTCGCAACAGTTAAACTGATGCAGACAGTTACAAAGGAAGTGGACCACGGTAATACTTTGAGCTTACAGCCTGTCCAAGGTCAGTCATTATTAATACTATTAGTAATATCTTCCGTAAAGACTTTGATGCATAAAATATTTATGTATAATTAAAATATTTATGATGAAGGTGCAAGGTTGTGTACTTTTCTCCAACTGAGCAATCTTGCTTTTATAAAATATATACCAACTTTTTTAATGTTTAATAATTAACATGCTGTAATACACAGTTTAAAATTATTAAAAGTCCAAAGAGTATATAACTTTAATTCTTAATTGGAAAAAGATTGTCCCTCAGCAGTGACCAGGATTCAAAACCGGGTGTTTTCTGGTGATAGCTCAAATGCTGTACATGAGACGTTAAGCTTTATTAGCTCCACCTGGTGGTTCTACAAGCAGTGTTTTCAGTGTGAGCACAGCATGGTGTTTTCTGTGTGTTTGCCAGTTCAGTTTTTCATAGTAGTTTTTTTTCTTTTACAGGTACCAGCAAGCTCTATAGAGAAGTGTTTATCAGATTTATTTTCAAGCAAAAACATAACCAGTTATGAGCCCAAGGTCTGTAACATTTTTTTGTGTATTGTGTTAGGGAATGACAAATCTTGAAATGTCCCGTTCATCATTTTGTGAACTTCAAATGTGTTTTGAAATAAATATTTTACAGTGGTGTGCATTTTTTAATATTAATAATTTTTTCCTTTTCTGATTTCAGAAAATTGTTGGAGCTATAAGCTCTTTTCTGAATCAAAGTGTGCTTCAGACTAATTTGACTGTGCATGCGAGGTCAATAGCTGGGGAAATGTGTCTGAATGCCATCGAGAGTATACATCTGCCTGTGCCTAAAGACTCTTATAAATTAATTAAGAACAACGAGAGCTCACATAATCTAGGTATGAAAATCAGTCAAGTGTTGCATCCATTTCCAGTTCAACTATAAAATTATTGCAAAACCTCTTATAACCTGTAGCTGTAGGCATGTAAATGTATGACAAATTGCTGCTCAGGTAGTGTCTTAATTTTAAATGTCACAGAAAATAATGATACAACATCAGAAATCTCTGGATGCTATCCAGAGTACTATGTACATGCTGATATTTTGAATTCCTGCATGATGCTCTGAATTGTTGTGTAGAGTATTTAATTATTTCAGATCTTAATTAATCATTTCTTGTTTATCTGGGATGTTGTACTGTTAGCACACAATAATTTGCAACTTCCTGATACCAAGATGTATACCTACAGGACCCACATCTCTGTTTGGTTCAGATTGCAATATGTGAGATATTCGCCATTCCTTGCCTCCTTTCCTTGCTGTATACATTATATACTGTATAATTTTGTAATAGACAGGCCCCACCCCACTGGGTGCACTTGTTGTGGTCTTGTATGTACTGTACATGATCTTTTCACTCTCATTTACGCTAACACTTTTTTAACTTTCATACTCTTAACACCTCACTGCCTCCAAAAAAGATAAAAAGCTATATTTTTTTCTCATCACCTCCACATCAACTCATAGTATGCCAGACACCATTGGTTGCCAGATAGCCAGCAACAAGACAGGCAACTCCTACTACTCTTCTTACAAAGAACCAGGTTCTGAAGCTGCACTTTCTGCTCTCTGGTCTATTCCTCAGGTACACTTGTCTGTCACATACAGTAGGGACATTCAGTAACAGGTCAAAATCTAATCTCGCACTTCTGTTCTCTTATATATAATTACTTGCTGGGTGCTCACACCTGTATGTTTCTCTTTTCTGACAACTGGCATTTTGGTCTTCTCTCATGCTTGGCATTTTTAGGACCTTGTTGTCAAGCAGCAACCACTGGTAAACTGTGCAGCAGCATGATGATTGGTGAAGCACATGTCTGAGTGTAATGCTAATGATGTTATAATAAAAAAAGCGAATGGTAGGATCAGAAAGTACTGTATAAGGGAAATCTGATGCAGTCAGGAAAAAAAGACCATCTGTAAGGACCTGTCTGAGAAAACCAAGCAAGGCTCCCAGGTAAAAAATAACAGGTGAGAGGCTGATGAGCTGACACTGTAAAAATGAGTAAAAATGGAAAAATTAAAAAAGGAAAAACAAAAAAACAAGGAAAAAATTACAAAGGGAAAAGAGGGAAAAAATTGGGACTTGAAGGGGAATCTGCTGTATTGCTGCACAGGAAAAAATTGAATTGAATTTTCTACCAAAGAGAAGCGACTGCTCGCACGATAGTTGAGGCTTTAATGACACACTAATAATACAGAACTTCTAGATGACTACAGTAAATAAGGCATCTCAATTACCATGTTTGGGAGCTAGATCAGGAACCTCATTGAAAAAGTGCTGGTTGAATTGAAAGGCATTGCGATCTTATTTAAATGGCAAGCTGAGAACATGTGGGAATGTTGCTGTTGCCAGGGTCAACAGCAGGTCTCGAATTGGTCCCAGCCCATGCATTACTCTTATACATTTGCCTCTTACAAATCAGGACCAGAGTCACTTTCTCGCATCTTCTAGAACAAGCAGCTCCTCACCCTGAATTTCTCTATGGACAACTAATAGCCCTGTTCCATGATGATGCCATGCTGATTGCTCTATTCTTTCAGTTCTTCTAATGTCATTAACCCTGCCTGCAACTTCATTCTTTTTTCATCTCATATTCCCATTCACTCTTCTCTCTCCCTTCCCCCTTTTTGGTCAACTGTCCAACGCAGCCTTTATTCATTGCTTAGTATTTTCCCTATCCCCATCCTCCTTTTTACAGTCCCTGTAAGACCTCTCACAGTGACTGATAATCATTCTACCCAGAGGGTGCAAGTGCAAAGCATCATTCTGGTTTCAGGCCTCCTAGTACACAACCTTCACCATCCCTGGTGCCCACACACCGGTTATGATTCTAGCTGTTAATTTAATGGGTACACCCTAACCACTGGTGCTTGATTGGTGTGGTGTCAGCTCTCAACTCTTTCCTCTCCCAAAACTTCCACTTACAAATGAACTGATATTACCTATTGTTTTGGGGTTTCAACTTTGTTCATCCTCAACCATTTATTCCCAGCAATCATCAGCAATTGGCAACTCACTACCTACTGTATACCCTCCTACTTCTGTGCCAGCACAGTTCTCCTCAGGCTGCTCTTCAAAGTCACTGCAGTCTTCTGTTGCTCACTACAGGGTTTCAGTCTCAAGCTTACTAAGACAGAAGTAATGTACTTCCATCTGTCTGCTGACATACATTCTATCACATGCATTGTATGCGCTTCTCATTTACTTCTTTATCCATCAGTTTTCATTTAAATGTATTTTTCATTTAAATGCATATTTAAAATTACTCTATCACACAAAACTCAAGCTTGTATCATATTCGTTTCTCATTCATTCTATGCTATGTGCACTTTATTCTTGGTTCCTGCAATAACCCTGCCAAACTGACTCATGTTTAAAAAAATATGTGTTGGGGTTATGACAGAACTGATTTTCAGCCAGCACAGTCATTTCCAAAGACAGGTAAGTTAATGCCAAAACATGAAGTACTCTCCCTTTATATTCATAAGCTCATTTCATTAATAAAGAACAGGATGCAGCTAAAAAGCACTGGTTAGGAAATGGAGTGATAATGGAGTTTTGGGTATTGTAATCCTGTTTGATAGTAGATCATTTATTTAAGGGCCTCATCTAGTTGTTTTCTGAAAGAAACCAGTATCCAGGTGATGGTTTTGACATGTCTAGTCATTTCAGTTTTAAGTGCGCTTTAGTTTCTATTTGCGTTGTCAGGTTTTGCTGTTGATTCTAAAGATGTTCACTGGTTTCACCTTTCTATGCTTATGATTTGTCCCCTTGGACCCCTTCAATTAACCAGGTAAAATGAAGTAGACAGCTTCCTTTTATCTGTTACTCTCCCAGTATTCTGTACTTGCCAATTGTAGCTGGATTAGCTACTCAATTTTAATGAGTTGTGTTTTTCATTCACTAAAGTTCTGTTTTCTTTAAGATCTCCAATGGTTTGTGATTCCTGCTAATTCTACTCATAAAATAGAATCTTTACAAGTAAATGGAAACACCCTGCAAGTAAACCTGCAAAACATTATGCAGAACGCCAGTAACGGTAAATGCTAATGCATATTTTGCATTATCTCAGTTTTTGAATGTTGTGACATCATAATTACTCTCTAATTACTCTCTAGCCATTGCTTATTTGAGTCTTTAACATTTCTTGCCTGCAGGTATTAGCATTACAAATCTGATCTCTTGTGCGTATTGTGTGCAGGATCAGAACAGTCAAGGTAGAAAGTTGTCTCTTTGAAAGGCTGAAAATCCAAATCTCACTGCCAAAGAGATATGCTGGATTTATACCATTTTAATTTAGTGAAGTGATGCTAGTATTGTTTGCACAGGCATTATACCTGTTATTTTGCCTTAAATGCATCTTGTGTTCTTTGACACTGAGTCATCCATGTTATTTGTCACCATATTGCAGCCATATCAAATTATGTGTGATTTGTGGAAGATATTAAAAACTCTGTTATATAAACAGTATATTGTATAGCTATAAAACTTTGGGTTCACAGTTTCTTTTTATTAGAGGAAAAATAGCTACGTTACAGACAAATTCTGAAAAGGGTTTCTCTCTGTGGTTATGTGGGTTTCCACCAGGTTCACTGTTTCAGGATATATCCTACGCCCATTATCATATAGGTTGGGCTCAAGCTCACCACGACCCTATTTTGGACTATGCAGTTGTTGAAAATGGATTTATGGATGGATTTGTCAGATATTATGATGGCAATGTTGGATTTTCTGTAAAACACTGGAATTCTTTGATCAACTAATATAACTCTTGGTGTACTGTACACATTTTATCAATCTGTCTACATTTTATCCATAGTAAACACAGCAGTAAATACCTAATTCAAATACTCCCCAGAAGCAAAGAACTAAATGGTCATGTTGTTTGTTGGCCATAACTTTTTGATTTTTCATTTTCTTCACAACTGCTGGACCTGTCTAAGAATCTAAAAGACATTATGCAAATGTATCAGTAGGTGACATGAGTTTGTTGATTTACAGCAGTAAACCAAAGTGGAAACTTTCAAACACTCTTTTTAAAAGGTGATACTGTACATGCATTGAAAATCGGACTTAAACTTTGGTCTGCTAGATTATGTTCTCTCTCAGCCTTGCTGAGATGTACTGCCAAGTTTCTTATACAAGCAGTTTCTTTAGTATAAATTAATGCATTTGTCGAATTGTTACGAACTTGATTGAAGTTCCTAGTTACATAATAGTTTTTCATCTTTGGTTTCTGATTTAGAAAAGGCATTGTAGAAGATTTTCCCAACCTGGTAGCATGTTGGAGAACCCATAATAAAACCACATAAAGTCCTAGGGTGAAACTAGGCTGAAACTGGACCCACCTTGATCTAAATAACCTTCCCAACCCAAGAATGGTCCATATCCTACTTTGTCTTTTCGTTTCCTCTAATAGTCTATAATTTATCCTGTTTTACTGTCTGATCTTGGTGAAATTCATGAAATTGAGCTTGATCTTATTGCTAGTGTCTCATCATGAGATTAAATCTGTTATGTTTACACACTTTATTCAGGCTTTTATAACCCAAGTAGACAACATCTTTTGTCTTTTAAACTCTTTTATTACAAAATACAGCTTGCAAACATCTGAAGCCAAAATCTCTAACACCCTTGTCTCACTGTCTCTGGAGTGTGTTTATGGTGACCTCTTGTGGCCTAAAATGGATGGTACATTGGAGTTGGATATATTTTACTGTACACTATACAGTATATTCAACAGCGTATATAGTCGAACTATAGAAATGCACTTTACATCATTCCAGATTATTGAACATAGTAACATTTAAGGTAATCAATTCAGTAACTACAAAACTGTTTATATTACTCCCTGATAACATTGATGATTGAGTTTGGTGTTATAGCACTATTGATTTCTAATTAAAACAAAAGTTTTATTCAATTTAAGAAAAAGGTAAATATTATTTTATTTAAGAGCTTTTTAGAGTCATCTCTATTTTTAGGGAAATCAGATTTCGACTGAAGTAATGCATATTTAAAGCTACTGATAAAATATTCCTACATTAGAATTTGTTATTGCATATTTGATAAATCATATATTTACTTTCAGTCCTACTATACCTGTATCTCTTTATCTGATTTTTATGAAAGATTAAGATATAAAATATGCTTTATTGTTTTAGGAATTGGAACGGTCTTGTTTGCCTCTTATACTGGCCTTGAATTTCTTTTGGATGGAAGATACTTCCAGAATAAGTCCTCAGAAGATATTGTTTCTCCCCAGATCAACTCAAACATAGTTACTGTTGTCATAAACCAAAAGAAGAATCATATCCACACACTTTTGCAGCCCATCAATGTCACTTTCCAGAACAAGCAGGTAGAATAGCCACATTTGGTTGCATTTTAATAAAAAATAATAATAAATAATAATTACTCACTACAGCTGTAAGGTTATTTAAAAGTATTTTTAATAGTGAGAAAAATGATGATAGCATTTTAAATTAATGAAATATTAATGTTATTTCATTGGTTTAGTGCTAAAATAATACAAAATGAAATGAAATAATCATTTTGTTTTCCAAAACAAACAGTTCAAAGAAGGTGAATGGTTATATGTACAACTGATTGTGAATGTTACATGTGAAAAGAAAGTTTGTTTTTCTGGGTGCTAGCATCATCTTGAATGAAAACTGTTTTTGTGGTAAGTTTAAAAATTGTAATGCTTTTTTCATATTTTTTGTTAAATACAGTAAATGTATTATAATTTTTACAAGGGAAAAGAAAATGCATTGTGAGGTGAATACTTTTTAGTCACACTCAAATGATTGATGAGGAATATTTTTTTAAAGCACAAGAGAGATGAAAATGAATTAATCTGTGTCTACTGGAAATATGGAGTAAATGAGAGCTCCTGGTCCCAATCTGGTTTGAAAGTCATCCATTCAAATGAAACTCACACAGTCTGCAGCAGCAACCATCTGACCACCTTTGCTGTAATTATGGCAACCAAAGCAGAGCAGGTACGATCACAATTATGCATAAAATAATAGTCTTATTCTTGTAAAAATAGTAAACATTTAAGGAAACTATTGTTATAAATGGGGGTTTATGAAACTGGTGAAAATCGGGAATTGACTGAGTAATTTATTTAAATAAATATTCATAACCCCCAACCTGTAGGTGATTTCTCCAGAATATACCCGAGTGGCTGGTATAATCAGAGGCACATTAATTCTTTGTTCTCTGGCACAGCTTTGGTGAAAAGTAATATTTCAGACACACTTGGTTAAACAAATATTTTATTACAATGACAAACTACACTACACACAACAAAACATACAACACACAAGTTACTCTATTTACACAATGTACAAGACATTCCAGTGGCCTAACATCCTAGCCACCCTGAAAACCCCTGACTGCTACTCAGCACTAAACTCTTAATGCCTACAGAGGCCAAATAAGAGATAAGGAACAAGTAATAGGTTTATTCCATGCTGAAAAAAAGAAGAAAGAGAACACAACGTTTCGGCCGTGGAGCCTTCTTCAGGTGTGGGTGTGGTGTGGCAAATAAGTTATTAAATTCCACATTTTGACATCACAATGTTTGCACTCTGAAATTTTCACAAAGTCACAAAACGTTTATCCATCCTTATCTTCCATTCTTTCAACAGATTGAGGAAGATTCTGCCCTGTCAGTCATTGAGTATGTGTTTGTGATAACATCTCTGATTTGCCTCGGCCTTGCAATTATTACATTTGTATTCTGTAAATCAGTTCAGAAAGGACACAACACCATTCACTTGCACTTGAGCCTTTGTCTCTTTATGGCTCACCTTCTCCTTTTAACTGGAGGATCCAAAACTGAAAATAAGGTGAGTCAAACATTCAAAATATATCTAATTTAAAATGGTATTCATTGAAAATATGTGAAACATTTAAAATATTATATAAAAGAGTAAATGTATTCATTTGCAGTAGTATTAAAATATCCATCCATTCATTTTCTAACCAATTCAGGGCTGCAGTGGAGATGGAGCCTATCCCGGCAGGCAGTGGTTGCAAGGAGTCAAATATTATAATATGTGCTATATAATTGCTCTTAATATAATAATCATGTTAATGTACATATCTATATGTTCATATGCTACGTATGTCCAGATTCAACTACAGATGTTTATAAAGCTCATCTATAATTCCATTGGGATTGCAGTTAACAATTTGATAAGGTTTTGTACCTTAAAAAATGTGGAATTGTGTGATGTTTTTTTACTTAAAAATCTTTTCAAGATAGAATTGCAATGCATTTTCATTTAAGGGAGATGGCGTGTGAAAATAACATTGTTTCTTCATCACAATTACAATATTGGAATATTTTTACAGCCTTTTACTCACCACTTCATCCAAGAATCGCAAGGGAGCCGATGCCTGTCCTGGCAAGCAACAGGCTCAAGGCTGTATACTGTACACCCTGGATGGGGGACCGGTCCACTGCAGGACACACATACACATGAACACAGGCCTGCCTAGACTTACGACAGAGCCAGTTTTCCCAGAAGACAATTAACCTACCAGTACAGCACTGACATCTCATCAGTCAGTTAATAATTTAATTGAAAAGATCACATTTATCTTAAACCAAAAAAAAATCTAAGAAAAAATTTCAGCTGAAATTAAAAGATCAGATGATTGTGTGGCTTTCCAGGAGTAAGGGTTGACCACGACAATCTTTTGTCATAACTGACCAAAATATTTTGTTTCAGTTACTCAGCACTTTTGATCTCCTCTCTGTTTTACTGCAGATGATCTGTGCAGTCATAGCAGGAGTACTACACTTCCTTTTCCTTGCCAGTTTTGTCTGGATGTGCCTGGAGGGAGTGCAGCTGCTTCTGTTAGTGACCAATCTGAGAGTGGTCAAGTACAGTAGCAGAAACAGACTGACAAAGAGGTACCTTTTTCCACCTGGGTATGGAATTCCTGCTGTCATTGTTGCTGTGTCAGCTGGAGTTTGTCCAGGAGGGTATGGAACACAGAAAAGGTGAGCAAGTCTTATCATACTGTTTTATCTGATGTCAGGTGTGCTCACACCTGAAAAAGGCTCCATGGCCGAAATGTTGTTTTTTTTCTTCTCTTTTCAGCATGGAATAAACCTATTACTTGTTCCTTTGCAGCCTACGCATGCTGACGCAGCTACCCATCCGAACTACCATATATTTATATTGTTACAAATGGGGGGTTACGAAAATGGTTAAAATCAGAAATTGGACCAGCGGTTTAGTCAATAAGTAAAAAAAATACTCGTAACCCTCCACTTGTAAATGATTTGTCCAGAATATACCCGAGTGGTTGGTATAATTAGAGGCATATACATTTTTTTTTCTGTGGCACAGCTTTGGTGAAAGGAATAATAATCAAGGCACACATGGTTAAACAAATGTTTATTAATAATGAAAAGACACAAACTATACCACAGACAACAACAACATACAACACACATTTTAGCTTAGCTTAGCTTTCAATGATCAAGAAGTAGGGGCTATCGCCTGGTTCAAGCTTCAAGTTCCATCGCCTTTCTTCTCTCTATTCTTGTCCTCTTCTTGTTCTCTGTATTGTTGTCTCATTTCTTCCCTGCTCGTTGTTGTTCCTTCTGCTTTGAAGCAAGAGGTGTTTACTCTGCCTGATGTTACAAGCTTTATCTAAACTGAGAGACACTTTCTAGTCACCTAAAGAGAGAAAACATGGAAAACATGTAGAAAAGACTTCAAAGGATTCAAAACCAGGCATTTTGAATAACAGGCAAGAATTCTTCCACTGGACAACCAATGCCTCATATTGACGAGGTTACAGTACACAACTGAAACTCATTGCTTGAGGTATTCAAAACTTCTGACCTTTTTTAACATATTTTATTTTAAATATGATGTTTTTAAAGCCACTAATGTATCTACCGTATAATATATTTTACAATCAAAACCTTGTGTTTTCTAATTACTATTTATATACAGAGTAATAATTCTGTATTTAATTAAATGCATTTAATGAAAAAAATAGAATATTCTGTTAGTGTTACTGTACAGTAACTGTACAGTTTGACTAGCTCATGAAAGCACTAATAGGTAAATAGTTAATACTCATGGCACATTAAGCAATCACTAGACCACCTGGCAATTTGACAAATTCATGGAGTCCTACATAAAACTATATAAAAAAATAAAAATATATTTATAATAATAATAATAAACTTTATTATATAAAGCGCCTTTAAAGGTGGCTTCTCAAAGCGCTTTACAGGATGACAATAACAATAAATAAGAAGACTACAACAATAAATAAGAAGAATACACAAGATAAGACACAATTACAATTACAGCAATCCAACAATAACAATAGAGGAGACCGTGGTAGGTGGTACTAAGAAAAGCAGAGGGGTGAAGAATGGAACCAGTTAAGTAAAGGCTTTTCTGAAGAAGAAGGTTTTGAGTCTGGATTTGAAGGAGTTTAGAGAAAGTGACTCTCTGATATCCTTGGGCAAAGGGTTCCAGAGCTTAGGGGCATAACAGGAGAAGGCCCTGTCGCCCATACAATATAAACGGGCTTGGGGAACAGTAAGGAGGGCAGAATTTGAAGAGCGGAGGTTGAGAGGTGGGGAGTAGGGCGATAATAGTCCAGACAGGTATTGAGGTGCCAAGCCATGTAGAGCCTTATAGGTGACCATGAGGATTTTAAAGTCTATGCGGAATTTGACCGGAAGCCAGTGCAAGGACTCCAGGATAGGAGTAATGTGAACACTTGCACTAGACCTGGTCAGGATTCTGGCTGCTGAATTTTGGACATACTGCAGTTTGTTCAGAGTAGATTTAGATACCCCAGCGAGTAGAGCATTGCAGTAGTCAATTCGAGAGAATACAAATATGTTGATCAGCTTTTCAGCCACAGTTAACGATAGCATAGGGTGTAGTCTTGCGATATTTCTAAGGTGAAAAAAAGATGTTTTGACAGTATGCTGTACATGTGGGTCAAATGTTAAGCCAGAATCGAATATAACCCCAAGGTTTTTCAATTTTGATTGAAGCTCAAGTACAGAGCCATCTACAGATAGGGTTACAGGACTGGCTTTACGAAGTTGATGGGGGGTACCAATAAGCATGACTTCAGTCTTGTCACCATTTAAGATGAAGGAAGTTTTGAGTCATCCAAATTTTTATGTCAGAGATGCAATTAGATAGAATAGAAACAGCCACATCAGTGTCAGGTTTGGTATGGATGTATATTTGAGTATCGTCAGCGTAAAAATGAAAGCTGAGGCCAATATTAGGCGCTATCTTGCGGTGTAACACGGCATGTTTTTTGTACCATGGCACATTACACCTTGAGCATTCTGAATGGCTGCATCTGTTCCTAGCTAAGATACTGTATGCTTGAAATTCGGTTACTCTTGAAAAAAGCCCTGCTCTTTCTATGGCATTGGTCTTGCAATTCTTTTGAAAAGCATAGCTTCGTATTACTTTATGTTTTAACTGTTTTTGTAGGAAGACATACCTCTTTGCAGAAATGTATGTAAGATGTAACAGTGTTAATATATTCACCCAGAATTTGTACATTCAAAACACCCTCTAAGGCTCTCTATAGTACCTGAGGACCACAACCTGACTGATCTTATTTTAAGCTTGATATTTTTTTTATTTTTGCTTGTCCATTGGAATTAGAAAAATCTAATTCACTCAGTGGTGCAGCTGCAGATTGTAATATTTTGTCCACCCTGGTAGGCCAATTGATTTGCTGTGTGTAATGTGGCCATTCCTGTGTCAAGGAATGGTTAAAATCACCCAGAACTATAATTGAGCATTCTGGGTAATTTCCAAATAAGCCATTAATTTTTCATTTCTGCCCCTTTTCACAATGGTAATTCCTACAGCTGTTTGGAAACAATTTAACATACAGTACTACCATTTCATTGAGATGAGCTATGAACCAGAGGCATAATTTACAATCACAGACTCATTGATTTACAGAATAGTATTTTACAAAGAAAAATGTCATTCAGAAACAGACATCTGCCTAAATAAATACTGAACTTGTCAATTATAGAGCCAAGCATCTGAGCTTACTAAGCCATGAATATTCACCAGCCATTTGTTTAGGATATTGTTAAAATACACTTTACATAAGTTAGTATATACATCTATATATTAATATACAGTATCTTGATCAACAGAGAAAGAACAATTTTTTGTATGGATCATACAATAGTCAACAATACACCTGGGCCTGCTATGAAAATCACTTCTATAAACTAATATTTTGATGTTATTGCAGTTGCTGGTTGTCCTTTGAAAGAGCGTTTGCATGGAGTTTCCTTGGTCCAGTTAGCTTCTTCATCTCTGTAAGTATGGAATACTCAGTGTTTTATATGTGTAAAGAGCAAGTACTGCAACAGGTTGCTTTCACCAGGGCATTATTTTACACTCTGTCTACAGTAGCTTTCCTTTGCTTTTGTACACATAAATCTATGAAACCACATCTATGAATTGGTTTTATTACTCTGCTGATAGCTGATGTGTGGTGAGCATTCTGGCACACTATGGCTGCCGTTGCATCATCCAGGTGGATGCTGAACATTGGTAGTGGTGGAGGGGATCCATATTACCTGTAAAGCGCTTTGACTGGAGTGTCCAGAAAAGCGCTATAGAAGTGTAAGCAATTATTATTATTACAGTATAGAAAGTACTGTATGTTATCTCATGATTTTATATTAAAAAATACTGAGGAATCTTTATTGCAATCATGTCAGGGAAGTACTCATGTGATTTGACTATTTACTGTATATTTAGTTTTGTGTTTAATTACTGTACAGTACAGTGTAGGGTAATAAAACGTATAGCTTTTACAAATTTGTAAAATTATAAGTTATTATCTGCACTGTATATTTTAAGTGTGTGCTCTATTTTGTGTTTAACTTTTTCCAATTCTTCAGTTTTAAAATGTTTTTTCTTTCAACAATATTTAATTTCTGTCCATTTATACTGTATAAACAGAGTAAGTTTTTTTCTTTCACCTCATGGACTGTTAGTTGCTGCTGTCTGTACATTCACTGCCTTGCTCTCTATCCCCGTCCATGATGAGTGCGCACACACCTGTTAACTGTTCAGACTTACATAAGATTTATGTTACATAAAGATTTTTCTGAAGCAAACCTTCACATAACACAGGAAGTGGGTGAATAATGCTGTGACAAAGTTGGTTAACCCAGAGGATAATTTATGGAATTTCAATTTCTTAACATTATACCCTTGTTTGCTTAAATGTCCAAAAGAGTTTATATTTACCATATCAATTATTTCTTTAGGTTTTTTGATTTTGTATGAAGTAAAAAATAATTATAATCAGATTATGTAAAATATTAAGTGAACTCCAAGTCTACTTAATACATTTAAGAAGGTAATTACAACCAGGTGTTCCGGGTGTACTGCAATTGGGTAACACTTAAACAATGTGTGAGACTGCGCAGACCTGTCCTCAATAATGCACAAAAAAATTGAAAGTTTGGTGATTACCATACAGGTTAATATGTGGGGCTCCATCCATTATAAATAAGTCAGCAAATGGATAATATTCTATATAATGCTGAATGATGACTGTACCCTGCTTTGATCGCTATGCCAGGGTCTCCCAAAGAGCAACCCACAAAATCATCCCCAGAGTAACATATAAGGATCTGCAGGCCTCTCTCACTGTGTGTAATGTCACGGTGCATGTTGAATGGGAATGTTGTTCTTGGGAGGATGTGGTGATGCTGTCCCTCATGGGGGATTCAATTTCCCACAACAAAAACAGAACACAAGCCAGCATCTTATGTCAGGTGCAAACGTATAAATACATGTACAGCACATAAAAAATGAAATAACAAAGTTGAAAATATATTAACAAAAACTAAAACGTTGCAAGACTTTAACATGCACAGTAAATACTATGAAAATAAGAATGAATCAGTTATTTGAATTAACAAAAAATAGCAAGCAGAGATAGGTTTCAACCTAAACATACAATAGATTGCAAGCTGTTCAGATATAATCATTTAAACAAGTGAAGTAACTAGTCTGTGAGCTACTGTATATTCACAGCTTAACATCACCCTTGTCATCCAATCAGAGTTGCACAGAATTGTCTTTCCTTAAGGTGTTTCTATGCAGGCCAACATCAAGCATTTCAGCAATCCAGCCAGCATTGTACATGCTATAGGTAGCATGTAGATAAAGATATTGAAGAAGGGAATGAGTGTTTGCATGTGATCCAGGCTGGCAGTGCATGAAAGAGATGTAGGTGACTTGTAGGTCTTACGTAGGCTTGCCAGGAATGCAAGAAAGCAGAGGTAGTTAAGGGAGTATTTTTGTGGAGCTGACGCCTGTGATTGCTATGGAGCTGCATGAAATGTAGCTGCATGGAGTCAACATCATGCTCTTGAGCTCTGAGAGAAAGAGACCAGAGAAAAGTAACCTTATGTAAATCACCGGCTGACATTTTCTGCCACCAGAAATGCATTACGGGCTTGAGAGCAGACTCGCTGTAGGAGTCCCCTGAGTGATCGAATGTGTGCTTAAAGACACCAAAGAGAAAGCATGAACTTGATGGCTGTGGGCTTATAGCCACAGGCACTCAGGAGGTGTTGCCAGCATATTTGTTTGTGTATCTAAACGGTGTGCAGGAAGACAGCAGGTGGAGAACATTAGAAGTCTTCCCTAGAAGGGGAATAACATGTGAAATCTTAGAGTCTGAAGGGCTCCAGCTGAAAAGGGCTTTTGGACTTTAGTAGGTCTTTTCTCCTGTGGAGTCAATCCCAAGTGAAAGAAAAGTGCAGGTGTGAAAAAAAACACTGTTATTAGTGAGAAAAAAATGTACAGACAGCCCTAAAATAGCTCTCCCAGTGGGGTTGTATTTGTCTGGTACAGACAAACTGGATGATTATTTTTTAATGAAGAAGACATACAGTACTTGTTTTCTTGCAGGTTAACATCATAATGTTTGCCATTATTTTGTGGGCTCTGAAATCACAGCTGTCTTTTATCAACACTGATGTGTCCAAAGTAAGAAATACCCGGTAAGGACTGTAACTTAAAACTCTAGAAAAATCTTTCTTGATGTTTCCCTCTTACTGAAATACAAGCATTTCCATACTTAAGTATTTCCATTTATTGCTGTGTAAATCTACCTGAATCAGATCGCATGTAAAAGATGGTTCTTCATCTACTGATCTGTTGTACTCATTACTCTAAAACAGTGGCTCCTAACCCTGGTCCTGTTTGTGCTGTTTTTGTTCCAAGTGAGTAATGATGCCCTTCATTGTTTTGCTTGCTTATTTAGATGCTTTTTTAAATCATTTTTGCTTAAAGATACTATATTTCAGCATGTAGAACTTGAAGCTATCTCTCCTCAACTTGTTTGAGTCCACTGAACAGTACATAATGAATAATCAATTGAACAGACACAAGTGGACATGACAATGTTTCAAGCATTTTTTGTATGAGCATTTGTTTTTACCTTCTGCTAATTTTTTACATTTCGGGTAACACACCACTGAAAAAAGGAAAATCTGAATTTCAGATACAACATTGATAGCCCTTACAAACATTTGTCATAGTTTTAATTGCTTGAAGTACATTTTAAAAGTATGCTTCCAACAGAGCATCTGTTTTCTGAGCGGTCCATAGAAGTTGAATCTAGAGTGTAGCCTAGACACAATCTAGAGTGAATATAAGTGCAGACATTCAGAAGTGTATGAGTGTTGTAAGAGCATGATATAATGCCACTGGTTTTTGTAAGATTTCTCTTTCAAAATACATTTAGAAAACATGAGAAAATGTCTTGTCTCGTGGTGAAACCAGTTCTTTTAATTACAGAACAATCTTGTGGATACTGTACATCACACCATTTTTAAAGTTGTCACTGATAAGACTTGGTGTTCACCTATCTAACGGCTTAAGGGTGGAATGTGCAAATTCAGCCAAATCACGAGGCAGAAAAAATCCTGTTAAGGCGAGGACTAAAGGATAAACCTGATAGTAGATAAAGTGGGACAGTGAACTTTTTACACCAGGATTGGTCTGGTCTTAGTTCAAGTACTTAATGTGAACAGGTTTTTTTAAATCACACTACCAGTTAAGAAGGATCTTCCACAATGGAAAATTGGAAATTTATTTGAGGAGGTCTACATTCTTGAGTGTACTTCACAGTTGTGGTTTCCATGAAAGGGTTCCAAAGGAAGAAAACATTTTGGTGACTGACAGCTCAGTAATTGAGTACATATACAGTATATACACTGTATACAGTATATAAAATATATATATACATATGTACTGTTTATGACTTAGACATTTAACAGCTATAAGTAAGGATAATTAGACATGGATGTAATATACATAATGAGGAAGACAGCAGGGAAAAGACAAGCAGAGAGAGACATAGATAAGGTATTTGAGTTAAAAAGTTAGAGAAACCAAATTTAGGTAAATGCAAAGTATTAGTTTGAAGGATATTTTGGGATTTGCAGTTAGTCCCATCTTGTGGACTAATTTGTGGACCTGTTGAAAATTAAATCTAACTGAATCTATCCTGGATATACAGTCACTTTGTTAGTCATCTGACAGCTTGCGAGAGCTTCCCAGGATCAAGAAACACTTTTCTAAAGTGTTGGATAATCCTTCTTAAGAATTAACAGAAACCTTAAATCAGTCATTTGAAAAATATGCACAATTACTGACAAAGGTATTTTTTTCAGGTTGCTCACTTTCAAAGCCATGGCTCATTGCTTTATCATGGGCTGCAGCTGGATCCTGGGCTTTTTTCAAGGTGTCAAATTCTTCAGTTACATGTTTGTCATCGTCAACTCCCTGCAGGGTCCTTTTATCTTCCTAGTGCACTGTGTGTTGAACCAACAGGTAACTACTACAAAGACAAACAACGTTTTGCTCAGCAAAACATTTATTTTGAATCAAGTGTGACACAGGTTCCTAGATTTTATGCGTTCTTCTTAACCAATTACACATCTTTGGTTTAGCTGGATTTTTTACAAGTTTGGTGAATTTCTAAGTCATAATTTTTTGGCCATAAACAAGTTCTGAATTAAATGATCATTTAACTCTTGGCATCACAAATACAGTATGTACAACCTCAAAACGCTAGAGTATTAATTTTACAGCCTTCACTATGCTGTGCAGAGATGATACTGTATATCTAAGCTTACAGTCCCAGTTGCTCTCTTAACTTTAACTGACAAGATCTGTGTGTGTGTCAAATGTCCTCTGTTTTAGGTTACCTTTCTTTTGATCTAATGTTTTAAAATATTTCACTCTTTAAGCTGATTGTAGTAGTTTGTTGGTAACAGAATCCCTGTTTTTATTTGACCCTCAGATAAGAGCGGAGTATAGAAGATGGCTCAGGTGCACATATAAAAAGAAGTATAAATCTGAGTCTTCTGGAGTCACAATGAGAACATTAGCAGTAAGTGAGACACTTCAATACAGATTATATTCAGGAGCCCAAATAAGCATGAATTCAAAGAGCATTACAGGAATTTAATGCATTTTAAAATTACATAGTGAAACCAACTTGTTAATTGTGATAAAAAACAGAAATTGTGTTTTTCATCTTAGCTATTTGCTTGTGTATCTGTAAAGCTTCCCGTGCTTTAAAATAAGTGTTCTGATCACACAAGAAATCATCAAACCACCATGTACTGTATGTGTGTTCTACATAAATTCTCAGGAAGATGTTCTCTGTTCTTGGACAAATACAAGGATGTTTCTATTACAAAATCATGAGAACGCTCTTAATCTGTGATGTACAAGAAAAACACCTGACAAAATAATTTTCCAAAAATATTACAGAATATTATAGTGGGGTGTCTCATAGCTTACAATCATTCTTCTAATACGTTTTATTATATTTTGAGATGCTGCTTTGAGATAACATTATTATACAGTATATTTATATATTATTACAGTATATGCAGGTACCCTCAAAGTACCATAATACATTATACAGTATATACTGTATATAATTTAGAAATTTAACAGCTGCAAAAGTAAAATGGACATATACAATAGTAAAAAATGAAACAATTAAAAGTGAAACTTTCAGTTGTTAGACTAGGTTAAAGTATTCCAATTAAAAGGAGCTCAGTGAATAATCAGGAGCAGCAGGTGGAGAGAAAGCAGCAACGGGAGCTGTCCATTAGTACAATATTGGAGAACAGTGCAAGGTGAAAGGCAGAAGGATTAGATTACTTTATCTACAGGATGAACATGAGGCTGTGGAAGATAGTGAGCAATGGTACAATTATAACCTTCACTCATTCTGTGAGAAATATGAGGAAAGTGATGGGGTCAGAGTCAATAACAAGCATCACCTCCAGCATTGTAATTCAAAATATGCAGTTCAGAAAAAACTAGAACTGACTTGCCTCTTTTCTTTCTTCTTTTTAGGACACAAATACAACAGATCCTAGATCTAAATAAACTTGTGAAACAAAAACTTGCTAAGAAGACCCAAATAGCTCAAAACGTTCAGGAATAATGCAATCTGTTGCAGGGCATTATAATGTGAATGTACTGTTTAAGAAAAAATACCTGAATTGTGTAATCACAATTATCTTTTCTTTATGTTTCATTTAACAAAATGGAGGGAAATAATCTGAGTCAAGACAGTAAAAATTCAAAATCTCTGATTTTTCACATAATCACTTCTGTGGAAATAATAGTGAAGATCTGTCAGCAAGAGACACTGAATTTGTTTGAGTACAGAACTATTGATGTGTAACCCATCCCTCCCTAATGCCTATTCCCCTTCAAAAACTATGATGGTATTGTGTAGGTCCCATAGTTCTAATTCATTTGTTTTGGTCTTCTTAAATGTTTGTGTTCATACTGTATATGAACTGAAGTTTTCCAGAGCTTTGAGGCAGGTAATTCATTAGCTTTCTCCACTTCAGCCTAAACTTAAGCCTAATCTTTGCTTCCTTTCCACAAAACATAAAGACCTACTTTACCCTGAGACTGTTGCATTCTAAATTATTTGAATTCTGATTGTTTTTATCTGCCTAACTTTATTGAATCTGTCCTTTCTAACAACTTTATCTATTTTAGCCATTTTCTAACCACTGTATCCAATTCACATGAGAGTTGAAGCCTGTCCGAGCACGCAATGGGCGCAAGGCAGGATACAACCTAGACAGGGTGCCAGTCCACCACAGGGCACACAGACATGCACACACAACCTACCATGTTAGTGGGAGGAAAAGTAGGAACTTGTAGAAAACCCACATGAACACAAGGGAGAACATACAAACTCTACAAAGATAGAACCTGAGGTTCAGAATTGAACTCAGGCATCCAGGGATGCTAACCACTGCACCACCATATCACCCTTAATGGATTATAAAACAAAAGATACATACATCCTGTTGTCAGACTGCTTGAATATTAAATGCTAAATCCAACAAGCATTTTTTGTATAAACTCTGGCAAAATCAATAGCATGTTACAATCTTCAAATTTAGTGTGACTTTTAATGGTCTCAGAATCATATCTGGGGGATATTTGTTTTATTGAATTATGCATTTGATAGTTACATGATCTTATTTCACACAGACGTTGTTACAAAATACCTTGCTGGGCAAATGGAAGTCTGTTTGGATAAAAACATAATCCAAATGAATTAATAATACTTATCATCACATAATATAAAAAGAGTAATCAATTTTAATATGAAGGTTTGTAATTTTCAAAATGTATGTTCTTCACTGAGTATTTTTCATTTATAGAACATTTCCTGCAATTACAGCACTTTTGTAGAACATTGAGTAATGTCTTTTAAATAAATAGATAATGTAAAATGGCCCAAATAGAAAAGGTAAATGTATACTCTTATTTGTAATTAGAACTCTCTACCAGTATTTACAAACTAATTATTACGACATTAGTAAGGCTGATATAAAATTTGTTTACTTCTGTAAATAAGATAATTAAATACATAGCATAGACACCAACATTTTTTGGGAGTCACTGGACAGCACAGAAAAAGATTGTCTATATAGTTTTGACTGTATACTGCCTAATGCAGTGCTAGACTAGAATTCAGACATTCTTTTAGGGGCTCTTGTGTTGATAATTTAATCTCCATTCCACTGGTAAACCTAAGTCAGTTAAAACATGAAACTACCATTAAATGCTCACTGTTAAATATTCACTCACTAGGCAACAAAACAGTTCTAGTTAAAGATATGGTGCTTGACACCAACTCTGACCTATGCCCATTGTGGTGCCAAGGGAGTAGTTGACACCACACTGGGCATGGTCAATCTCCCATTCTCCCCTGTCACACCCCTTTATAACCTATCTTTTGGGTTCCTTTTTTTATCTTACATGTACTTTCCTCCAAGAGTGGTGATCACACTGATCCCCTCATCGGGGTAACAGGATACGTAACTCCATATTCCGTTACATCTGGGCCCTTTGCCTTTGAAATCTCAGGTTCACCAAGTTCATCCTGTTGTCCGCACTGCTAGGAACCTCCTGCTCCTATTCTATTAGGTCACTGTTTCACACACAATCAGTGCCTCAGACTCCCAGTTCCGCCTCCAGCCTCCTCTTCCACCAAGTTGGGTTACACAAAACACATACTACCTACATTACAGAGTCTCTTCGGACTACACACCGTGCCGAGACCCAAAACACTGTCCCTCTCTAACACACCCTCACAACCTTTCTCTCACACCCTTAGGTTGAGAACTCACAGCTGCCAGCGCAACTCACTCTGCCCTACAACCACTGCACTATCTCCCAGACGGTGTAGTTAGATAGACCCCACTTGCTTCCCCAATACCATGTATTGCCAGGAGGAGGGCCCCTCTACCACACAACCAACTCCGATCCACACACAGTAACTCACTAATCAAATCACAACTCACTCATACAGCGGACACGACAGCCCTGCTCTCACACCCTATGAGGATGCTCTCCCTTTAAATCTTTCGATGATCTCATAAAGCTCAGTTTTTTCAGTCTCCTCGCAGACTGACGTTGTCACTCTTTTCCTTGCAGGCTATTCCTCTTACAATCCCCTCCGGAACTGTCATTCTTCTTCACCCTCTCACGAGTTTACACAGTGGCTAGTTTTTCTTTGTTCACTCATACACGGCGGCACGCTCTTCTAACATCGCCCCGACTAGTAATGTCTCACACCCGCTACTGTCATGCTTTAGCCCGGCTTTCTCACACCACAGCCTCCGCATTTGTCCTCTCACCACTGCAGCAACAACAAGACTGAGGTCCTGCTGAATTTTCCCCCTTTTCTAGGAATTATTCAGGCTAGTTTTAAACCACTTCTACACCTGCCGTTCATTCACTTATGAACGTCGGATGTGGCTTAGATCCACTGCCACTATTTCTTTAGTTGAAGCCTCACCTAATGGCAATACATTTTTATAGAAAGCTCGTTGCTCAGGGCATGAAGGTGGCCTAGCAGCCATCTTCAGTGAGTTTCTGAGAATTTAATTAAAAATTATTAATGACTTTCACACATTTGAAGCAATACATTCTTTCAGTGTACAGACCCCCAGGACCATATGCATTGTTTCTTGCCAAATTTGGTGAACTGCTCTCTGATTTAGTTATTAATTTAGACAAAGTTGTAATATTAGGCAACTTTAACATACATATGGACATACAGACAGACACCTTCAGTAAAACTTTCTTGTTTCTCCTTGACTCTGAGGTTGTAGTCAGCATATAACAGGACCAACACACGTATACAATCATACACTAGACTTACTGTAATTGTCACTCATAGAGCTAATATTCATCATGTACTAGTCCATCCCATCAATAACTCTTTTTCTGACCACTCTTTAATTACTCTTTAAATTCGACTGCCCTTGATAGCTGCCAAAAAGAAGACTATTACAACACGACACATCAACGGGGGTACTTCATTAAATTTTATGAACACAATGAACAATGCTAACTTCATCTTCAGTAATAATGTTGATGAAATCACATATAACTATAATACAGTGGTCAGACAGGCCCTTGATGAAATTGCCCCGTTAAAGACTAAGGTAGTCAAAGCCACTAGACACTCTCTAAGGTATAATGATCACACACGATCCCTTAAACAGGAGTGCCGCAAACTAGAGGGCAAATGGAGGTCTACTGGTCTACAAGTATTCAAGTCAGCATAGACTGGTGGAGCGGTGGCTCTGTGGCTAAGGATCTGTGCCTGTGACTGGAAGGTTGCTGGTTTAAATCCTGCGGCTGGCAGAGGAATCCTACTCCGTTGGGCCCCTGAGCAAGGCACTTAACCCCAACTGCTCCAGGGGTGCTGACCATGCACTCTGACCCCAGGCTTCTCTCCCTGTCTGTGTCTCATAGAGAAAAGCTGGGGTATGTGAAAAGATTAATTCCTAATGCAAGAAATTGTACAGGGCTAATAAAGAAACATTATCATTACATTATGATAGCCTACAACAATATAAGAAAGCCCTATATAGAGCTTGTTCTGTCTACTAGTCTGAACATATTGAAACCAATAAAAGTAACCCTCACTACCTATTTAAAACAATAGCTAATCTTACAAATAAGACTGATTCTATAGTACAATCTAACTTTAGTAGTGAAGATTTAATTAACGTCTTTAACAAAATTAACACCATCAGATTTCAAACACAATCAAATAAGCCACAAAGATGTCTGGTACAGAAACAATATGCACACCTCTTTAGTGTTTTTCAATTAGTTAATGAACAAGAACTATAGAAATTAATTATTAAGACAAAGTCAAACACCTGTCTGCTAGATCCTGTCTCCACTCAACTAGTCAAAGATTCCCTTGAAGTACTGGCAGGACCTATAATTAGTATTATGAACATGGCCCTTGCATCAGACGTTGTACCTGATCAATTTAAGGTAGCAGTTGTTAGACTGCTCCTTAAGAAGGCAAATTTGGATCCACAAGTTCTTAACAACTATAGGCCTGTCTCAAACATCCCATTTCTATCTAAAATTCTTGAGAGAATACTTGTGGCCTAACTGCAATCGTATCTGGACTCAAATAATATACCTGAGAAATTCCAGGCTGCTTTCCGCCCAGGCCACAGCACTGAAACTGCATTAACAAGAGTCGTAAATGATATTCTGTTAGCTACTGACACGGGGAATGCAACAGTGCTTGTGCTTCTAAATCTTAGTGCTGCCTTTGACACAGTTGACCACTCTGTTTTGTTACACAGGCTTGAGTTTGAGGTTGGCTTACAGTATGTGGAACCATCTTAAGGGTTTACTTCATATTTAATTAATCGTTTTCATTATGTTCAAATATCTAATAATTTTACTGCTTCTTCAGGTGCCAGAACACCTGAAGAAGGCTCCATGGCTGAAATGTTGTGTTTTCTTTCTTCATTTCAGCATGGAATAAACCTGTTACTTGTTCCTAATAATAATAATAAAAAAAAACTTTATTTATAGAGTACCTTTAAAAGTGGGTTTTCAAAGCTCTTTACTGTTAGAAAAAAGTACACAAGAGGAGACAGCAGAATTCCATACTTACTGTACAATAAAGGTTTGGAATACAGAAGAAAAGCAAAGGGGCAGGTACAGAGCCAGTTAAATAAATGTTTCGAGTCATGATATGAAGGTTCTCAGGGAAGCTGACTCTCTGATATCCTTAGAGATAGATTTCCAGAGCTAAGGGGCATAGCAGGAGAAGGCCTGTCACCCATAGTGTGGAGATGGGTTTGGAGGGCAAACAGGAGACTGGAATTTGAAGAACAAGGTGGGAAGTAGGATGATAGTAAGTCAAAGAGTGCTAAGTAAGTTACTGGGGTACTAAGCCTTGTAGAGACTTGATTGGTGACTATGAGGATTTTGAAGTCAACACAAAACCTTATAAGAAGCCAATGAAAGGATAAGTAAGGATTCTGGTCATACTGAAGTTCGTTCAATGTGGATTTAGATACCCCGACAAGTAAGGCATTGCAAGGAAATGTTCAAGAGAAAATTAAAGCGCTAGGAACAACATAGGAGATTAAGATATTTCTGAAATGGAAATATGATGTGTTTACCATATTTTGCACAAGTGGGTCATTGATTAGTCAAGCCTGTATCAAACATTACGCCCAAGTTCTTCAATTTAGATCTAAATTCAAGTACTGTGCCTTCCACAAACACTATTGTCTTACTACTGTAGTAACAGACAAATAAGTTCTGGAACCCAAGATGACGTTTTTTGCATGCAAGGAACAATAAGACCAAAGTATTGTTCGAAATATAGGTGCAAAACTTCCAGTTTATATAGCAAATTTCAGCCTCTTCTGATGTAAATTGTTACCATGGTAATGGGGGGGACCACCTGTGTTTGGACATTCCCAAGACCTTGATCACTTTTAATGGTCGGTTTTATCTTTTCATAGTTAGGGGGTCTTTATCTTGCAATTGGAATTCCATATCAATTAACTCCCATCCGTGCCATAACTCAAAGGTGCCTAAGCATGGAATGTCTTGTGTAACAAGAAGTCTTTGTGCAGAAAGAAATCAGTTAACCCCTTTTTCACATCTGATATCTTTCTTCACTACTGTGTTGCAGGGCTGCTGCATAGGCTTTACAAAATTGATGGGAGGTGTCAAGAATCAATTCAGATTTGAACAATTTAAGAGCAATGTTTACTCAAAAGACAGTCTAAGGACGAGAAAGTAAGATGTCATGATTACCAGTGTCAAAAGTCGTACTGAGATCAGGGAGAATAAGGATAGAAAGAGAATTGGAAAAGTGTGTACTCGACTACAGATATAAGTGCATAAAATCACAATGACATTTATGTAATTGGTTTGTTATTTACAATAGCTGTAAAGAATAATAGGTTTAGCATACATCTTACCTAGGAGTCATACAGTGTCTATATTGAAGCCTTTCCAGACTGTCAAACCCCTTGCTTTACACAAAGACAAGAGAACCATTTCTTGTACTCCTCTCTCACCTGTGAAAATAAAACAGAAATTGGAACTGAGCTAAAGCATTCATGTAGTTGATTTGTTTAAATTTGAGATCAGTTCCCCTTTTCTTACTTAAGAATGGATCAAATACAGAAGTTAATTTACATTACAATTGTAAGAATTGAAATAATTTTGAAGAAAAGGAGATTCTAGTATTATCGACAACCCTGAACCATCCAAAGAAAACTTTGTTTTTCTTTGGCAGCACCTTGCATTTAAAGATGACTCTTCCATACGTGCTCTGTGTGTTGAAAGATGACTAATAAACCAGAGGAAACCAGTGAAAAATTAGTTGAAATACATTTAATATTGAGAGTTTCCATTACAAGTAGAAACTATTCAGAAGTGTATTTAAAAGGGGGCACTTCATTAGCACAAAGGTTTATGGGAGTATGAAACAATCCCTATCCAGCCATGTTGTTGAGGCCAAAACCCTGGTTTCTTTCAAGATGTACAGTATTAGGATCATTTAGCTGCTAAACCTTCAAATTGGCTAGATGGGCCTTATTGCCCATTTGACTTGTTTCACTTGTAAATTGCTCATATGAAGCTAGTCCACAACTTTGAAACTAAGGAATGTTTCTGCAAAGAATGGGAAACGTTTGGAGTGCTTTCTCTGCATTCTTCATGTGTGTTGTAGCGGCAGGGCTTACTAAAATACAGGAATTAAGTTTGCTGCTCCCTTGCCAGTCCCTCTCTCCCTCATCTCAGTGGTGCTGGATACAGAGAGGCCATTCCATTTGGTTCACATTTAAGGTGTTTTTCTAGCCAATAGAGTGTCCTGATAAGGAACAACTCCCAATGCTGAGATTCTCCAGCAACCCTTATAAAATGTCATCTCTGCCTCCTTACTGTCTGGGAGATTGCAAGAAAGAGTCATCCCAAGTTGTTTACAACCCTAAGGTCAGAGTGCATTGTTACTCATCATCAGCCCATCAGGAACTGGTAGGGCAGGGTAACCCCACATGGATCTCGGATGCCCACAGAACTTTCAACCAATGAAACCGTAGTTCCTCTAGGTAAAACAGGCAGCACAGAGCCCCGAAGTGCGCCTCCTGGACATTCTCAGACTCAGGGCTCCTCCTGGATATCCTCAGGGCTCCTCCTGGACTTTCTCAGACTCAGCTCGGACAATCACGTAACAGCCAGTGTGTCCAAGTGCCAGGACTTAAGTTTTGTTCTAAGAGTCGAGAATGGAGGTTGCCAGCGCGTAACCAAAGGATCCACCCGAGGTTAGCCCAGCAGCAAGCCTGGTGAACCCACCGCGAAAGCTCACCTGATCAACAAGTGAACTACGGTCGGAACTGTGGACAGCTAAAATCAGTATTCAGAACTAGCGCTACATCAGGAATGAACCGGTCTTCTTCCTTTCTAAAGAGTGTGACCTGCTTGGGCCTGCAGTTACTTTTCTCCTGTGTACAAACTCGCTAGTAAAGCCAGAACTAACTAGCCAGTCTTCAGAGAGCATCAGCAGCGCATCGCAGCAGAAACCTCTCCCTCCTTCTCCCACACCACCAGCCGCACCAGCCACTGCTTGGCACTGGGCCAGAGAATGCCGATTGGAAGCAACAAGCCTGCCGCTGTTTGTGTCCGCGGGAGATCTGAATCCACATAGATTGGATGAGTATTCAACCTTCTGCATTACAGCTCAAGAATGCAATTGTTACCTCAACACCAGTTGATATCAATTCAATTCCTATGAGTGAGGTACTTGCTTTTGAGTATCTAGTGTAGAAGTTGTAATCCAAGTTCATTTAAGTAACGGTCTAAATGAATGGTATACTGAACGTATGTCCCTCTTGGTTTGTAACTCTTCATGACTGAATATATACCTTTTGTATTCTGCTTATCCTCACGATAAGATCTGTTATGTTTATATGCACATTTTATGCATTAATAAATGTATTCTCATGAAATAGTATCCGTGTGTGTGTGGGTTGTTTGAGTTATCCTGCAAGGTTGGTCTTCTAATAGCCATCAAAGAATCATTTTGTGACTTACTGCTACAATTAATTTTGTGACTTACTGCTACAATTAATAATTGTCCCAGTAAATGCACAAACCCCTACATTTATTGGTGTCTCGTGAGAAGATGCCTACAGTGTGCATCTTTAAGGTAACTTTGCTACCTGTGTGTCATATCTGCTCTCCGTGGTCATTAAAAATCCCAGGGTGTTTCTCGAAAAGAGCAGGTGTGTAACCCCAGCATCCTGGTTAAATTTCCCATCGGCCCTTACCAATAATGGCCTCCTAATAATCCCCATCTATGAATTGGCTTCATGACTCTGCTCTCCTCGCCACTGATAGCTGATTATTATTATTATTATTATTATTAAATATCAGCTTCATACATATTATTATTAAGGAACAAGTTTATTCCATTCCAGCTGAATCTCACACCCGAAGGCTCCAAAGCTAAAACATTGTGTTTTCTTTCTTCTCTTTTCAGCATGGAATAAACCTATTACATTTTCCTTTGCACCTTAAGCGTGCTTACACAGCTACCCACCTGAACTATTTCATATTATTATTCATACTTATTATGTATTATACTCATCATACTTTTCTAGACCAGTAGAATGGGGATCAGGACCATGACAATTAGATTATCGCTATCTGGGAGAGACAGATTTGGGGCTATATATTTCCGGGTCACTGATTCTTCATCACTCAGCATTGACGTTCAGATGTCCTGAGACCCGCCTAGCACCAGGTCTCCCCACGTCCGCTACCTAAGGGCATTGGTTTATATATGACTCCTGAACTGCTGAGCCCGGGCTAATCCCCCGTTCTGCCGCTACCCATATGAGTCTTTTTCCGCTCTCCTGCCTCTCCACGGTTCATCCTTTCCGACATCCTTGACAGATCAATGGTCATTCCTGGCACCTATCTGACTGTGAGATTCTTGCAAACATCTGGATTGCAGTTCAAGATGTCAGAGGTCATTGTGACTCATCTCTTACCTTGACCAACCAATCAGGAACCTGTAGGGTGTGGTAACCCCATGTGGATCGGAAATGGCTGCTAAACATTCAACCAATCACCACCTGTCTTGGTCCTAGTTTAAAAGACACTGCACAGCTCAGAAACTTTGCTTCTCCAGCTTCACACCCTCAGAGACAATCACGTGATGGCCGGTGCTGTTTGTATAGGGAGCGGAACCTTGTTTCAGCAAAGTGTCGGCTCAAGGAATGCCCATCCATAAATTGCTAACCAACACCAATGTGGATGCTTCGCTTGATCACCGGAGTATATGTTTGGACTCTTGTTGACAACGTAAATAAGTTATTATTCAGCAACAGTGCTACACTGGAAGCAAACCGAGTTCCTTCCCCATAAAGAGTGACTTGCTCGGACCCGCGGTCACCCTCTGTGCATAGAGACTTCCTACTAGTCCGCCGGACTACTATTAGGTCCCTGAGAGAGACACTGTTGGCACATCGCCACAGCAGAAATCTGTCCTCCTAATTCGTCCAACTCCGAGCTGCACCCCAACTGGTGGGCTGGGAGCCAGAGGATGCCAGGACGACGCCTATCAAATGCCGCAGCGATTGGACACAGATTGGACACCGCTAGCTGGTCTTTGTGCCCATGCTGGGAAATACTGTATAAATCCATATCTGGATAAGTAAACCCAATGTTTCAATGAGTAATGTATATACTTTTGAGTTGCTAATGTAGACTGATTATCAATAGTGTAGTCGAACGGTAAACTGAAGCATATTCTTTTTTGTATCTCTTTGTGTTTTGCATCTCTTTGTGATTACAGTATATACAGTACCTTGCACTTTGATAACCCTCACAGTAAGATCTGCCACCTGTATCCAAGCAGACTGTTATATGATTCTGCACAATTTATATATTAATAAATGTATCTCGCGGTACTGGTGACAGGTGTAAAAACTATAATTCTGCTTCTTATGTGGATTTTTTGACACCTTCACTTGTTTCAGTTATACTGTAGTTGTTAAAGGGCTTTCCTTCACAACTCTGATGATTTATGAACAGCTGACCTGGTTTGACTGTTTTTACCTCATTACTTCTTTGGTACTTTCCATATTGTTGATTTTGATGCTCTGGATGTCTATTCTTTAAGCTTTAAAATAGTATGCTTTTAACAAGAAAGTTTATTAAAAATATATCTTTGCATGTAAACTCTATATACTTAAGTCTAAGTAAGACTGGTTCTCATGAAGCTCATAGCTCATTTATGAGTTTCTAATTACCTAACAAACACATATACATCCACCAGCCAATTATCACAATACCTACTGGTTGTATTTATTGTATTTACTTATAATAAAGAGGTTTATCACTATTAATTTTATGAAAGAGAGTACAACTGAAATGACTTAATTTTTAATAAAATACCTAATAATTCATAATGAAAAGGTGTTGTACAGTATGTATTCATCATGCTGTTTTCATGAAAAATTATTATAAGAGTTAATATTAAAAATCACAGTTTATACTTCAGTTTCTTAGTACTTTAGGAAGGCGCTGTACCTAACAACTACTTAATAAGAATTTCTAATCTCTCTAATCTCTCCTTCTGTGTTCTCAAAGAGGATTTTCCGAACTCGTACTGTACATCAGAAAGACCACCGAAACCAAAATCATTCTGCAGCTAGGATCACACATTCTCTTTTCTCTTAACGACAGACTACTGTTCTTTTAAATTTTCTCCATTCATTGGAAGTTTCATTTCACACCTCTCTGCACCCATTCTGACTTCACACCTCTTGATTGGCCTCTCTTTCTGTCCCCTGCTCCCACCTCTCACTCCTCCTCCCTCCCAACCTTTGTTCTCCCACTACTTTACCTTTGCCTACTGCCCTGTCACTCTCACACCTGAAGAAGGCTCCATGGCCGAAATGTTGTGTTCTCTTTCTTCTTTTTTTCAGCATGGAATAAACTATTAGGAACTATTACTTGTTCCTAATATAGGTTAACTTTAGTATGCATGTACAGTAGATAGTGTAATCCAGTCCATATCAACAGATTGGTGCTTATCTTAAAATTAAAATGCAGAATGAAATGAAAGCAAATTGAGTGTGTATGGATATATGTAATTGTATTACATTCTTAGCTCCTTACTAAAATAAAACTACTGACATGTTAGGTAAAGCCTATGAGATTACACAGACAGGACTCTTACCTCTCTGTTGAGCAGGCAGTGTACAATGAAAATGAAAGTCCCCTGTTGCGAGTTTAGTACAGTAAACAAATACGATAGCAGAGTGGAACCTTGGAAGAAGCCCAAGATCCAGCTGCAGCCCAGTATGACAAATTGGGTAACAGATTTGAAAACTATTATCCTGCCAGAGAAACAGAAAACACACATTGGGATTGAGTTGATAAGACCCAGCTATGACTCTTTTACACAACCCAACTATTCACTGCTTAAATTGAAAATTGCTTTTCAATGATTATATAGTACAGTATGTATTAATTTCTCAAGTACTGTATTTACTGAACAGTAAAGCTTAAAATATACAACAAAATATTGGTTATCCTTGATGGAAATGTCTCATGTCATTTTCTGTGGGACGTTTTATTGATAAAAGAATCTTGCCTGCTGTCTACAGATGAAAGATATGAAAAACATGAAAGAAATGCTGCTCTTACCTGGTGTCTTTAATTTTGGAGATGTCACTCTTCATGTGAACCAGAGTTAATCTGAGATGCCAGATAATTGCACAAAACAAAAACAAGTTGATCTGCAGAAATGATAAATACATATATAATCATATCTGTATGTATATAGGCATGCCAATTTGCAGTCTTATTATTATTAATTCATCCTTTATTATTTAGAAACAATAGATAAACATGAATTTGCTTATTGCAATCCACAAACAGGTAAATTTAAATTAAAAAAACTACAAAAGATATTAAGTCTTACATTTATTAAGAGGAGCTTACAGTGAATTACACTACAGAAAACACATTTTTTGTATTTTGTTGATTATCTGCAGTCAGACAATCATGTTGAGATTATCATGTTGAGTTATCATGTTGAGAATATAAAAAATACTCTTTGGATAACAGTCTGAGTGGAGAGCAAAAGGACAAATGTAAGACTGGAAAACTAATATTGATACTGCAGGGAAGCTAAATGTTTCAAGAATGTTGCCTAGAGATTTGTCCAAGACCTCCTTAGAGTCTCAGTATCTTAAAACAACTGTTTCTTGGATGTAAATGTAAATGTCAGGTGCCACATACATATTTTTGCTAGCTATCATGCCCATGAGCTGTCTATAGCCACAGGAAGATCTATACGGAAATAGGTCATTGCCATATGGTTTCATTATTGGCCAAAATAGTGATATGGTTTTCCTCTTGTTAGCAAACTCCCAGAGACAGGCCCATTTATCCTGGTGTCATCAACATTTAGAATGGGATTGTGAGGTAGAGAGTGGTGGCTTTGGAAGACTTGTTGATGAAAAATGGCTGGAAAAATTAGAACCTGGGCTGATTTTAATAATTAGAATTTAGAGGGAGTGAAATTCCACAAGAGGGAAGGAATAGATTCTGTGTGGAAACTGCCACTCTTTTTGGATTAATTAAGAGATATATACAGTAAGAACACCAAAGAAGAAAAGCATATGCTTCTAGGCTTCAATCTGGAAGGAGGGAGAATGAGAGCTCCAGATTTACCATCAGCTGACTCGGTGAGAGAGAGAACAACAAACTAACTTCTGGTGTATCAGGGGAGTAATTGTTGGTAAAAGTGTGGCACCCCTTGCCAAATAGTAAGTGATATAAAGAGTGACAGGTTGTTTAGGAAGATCATGTGTTTTGTGAAGATTATATAATTAAATAATAGAACAAAGAACTGAGAAACTTAATATCATTCATCAAACACCATGAGACAGAACCATTAGAGAAGTGGCGGATTCATGATCTAGGCAGATCACGATCAATGGTTGCATACAACTCCACATTCTTATGTTCCTTGACTGCTCCATGAGATATGAGATCTGCATCCATACAGTAATAAGATCTTCTGATATTCAGATATGCCAACAGACCTCACATTATCTTTATGGGAGATAAAGCATGCACACATTTGGCTGGTGGATAGAGACTGGCCAGTGGATGCACTGAAGTGGGAGTCCACAGAACATGCCTAGAATACTCTACAGAGATTGGCTTCAAAGATAGTGCAAGCTTCCAGGAACTCAGATAAGCAAATATACAAGATTGGATTTTACTGCAGTGTGAAAAGTGCTGTGATGTATGTATGTCTGTAAGAGGAGATAACATCATAAATAAGGTACTGTACATATTGCTAATTAAATCTTATATTTGTTGTAATGATTTTCTAATTTTGTACCAGCTACAGTGCCTCTAATGATATTTGGAAAGCAAAGTCAAAATTGGTAATATTTCAAGATCACACATACAAATTTTTTAACTCATTATAGAGAAAATATTTGCTATTACAAACTGAAACTAGGGTACTATTTGCACTGAAAAGAAAGCCTAAACTTTCTTCTTGAATTACACATACTATAAAAGCTCACCGGTGCTTTTATAGAACATTCCTTTAATGGGTTGCTGAGAACCGTATTCTGTGTTTTTCTTTTCATCACCAATGTGCAACAGTTTGCATATAAAGACATTTAACTGTAGATGTTTAGCTATTTTTTACCAAATTTGAATGAGGCCATTACCTTGCTTTAGAAGTGTGCTCATTCAGTTTTTTTAGACAGAAAGTTAAAAAAACATTCACTAAATGAAAGATCGTGTGAAAGTTATGTGAAGATCTTATCCATAGGAGCATCTCTGCACCTCATGATGTAAAGAAAACCAACATCAACTAGCTTTCTGTATTACCTTTTGAAAACCAAGAATTCATCAGTTGTGTAATAGAATTACAGGTAGATGCAGTTGTCATGGTGTTTGCATATTATCCTTGAAAAACTTACAAGAATCTGCAATGGTACACCCCACAAATATTTATTTTTCTGTTTGCTTCAGAATACAAAGAAAAAAGATAAAGGGAACTACCTACTGTGAGAATAAAGCACACGGGGCCCAGAAAAGTCCACCTGAAGTTATTTTCTTGTTTCAGCCAGCAGCTGAAATATAGCAACAAAAGGTTTTACATTTTTATTTGTATTCATAGCTCTGAAAGTCACAGAACACATTTTTCAGTTTGCTATTATGATATTCTTTATGAAGCTTCCTTGAGGGAATTGTCAAGAATGGTAGGCCACTCTGAGTTTAAAAGCCTACTTTCTATTTTTACTGTTTCTCCTCTTAGTTGTAAGCTTTGATCTGTCTGTGTTTGAAAGGGTTTTAATTTGCTCTTTGCATGCTGAAGCAGGGAGACAGACACCTATTGTGTATTTGCAGAAAACATATGTGACATATAAAACTGTGTACCATTTTCCTATATATATATTTACAGTGCTTGTAGAAAGTCTACACCCCCTTGGACTTTTTCACATTTTATTGTGTTACAGCATGGGACATTCATTTATTTAACTGAGAATTTTTGACATCAACACAAAGGACTCTATAACATCTAAGTGAAAAAAACCCAGAAATTTTACTAAATTAATTAAAAATAAAAAACAGAATGCATAAGTATTCGCCCCCTTGCTTTGACACATCTAAATTACCTCTGAAGTAACCAACTCTCTTCTCCCATAGTTACTTGACTAGAGTCCAAATGTGTGCAGTTGTAGTGTTTTCACATGATTTCAGAATAAATACACCTATGTCTGGAAGATTCCCCACTTAGTGCATTTCTAAGGAAATGACCAAGGAACATTTCAAGCAGATCCAAGACAAGGTTCTTGAAAAATACCTGTCAGGGCAAGGATATAAGAAAATTTTCAAGGCATTGAATATACCTCGAAGTCCATCATTAAAAAGGTGAGAAAATATTAAACAACTGTGCATCTGCCCAGAACTGGCTGTCCTCCAAAACTGAGTGTCTGGGCAAGAAAAGCCACAGTAAGGGAGGCCACCAAGAAGCCTATAGCAACTCTAAAGGAGTTACAGTCCTCCTTGACAGAGATGGGAGAAACTGTGCATGAGACAACAATAGCACACACACTTCATAAATCTGGCTTGTATGGAAGGGTGGCAAAAAGAAAGCCTTTGTTGAAAAAAACTCAGATCACATCTTGGCTGGAATTTGCCCATAGGCATGTGAGAGACTCGATAATTTGGAGGAAGATTCTATGGTCTGATGAGACCAAAACTGAACTTTATGTTTGAAGCAAACCAAACACAGTAAACACACTGAGAACACCATCCCTACAGTGAACCATGGTGGTGGCAGCATCATGCTTTGGGGGCGCTTCTCTGTGGCAGGGACTGAGAAACTCATAAAGATAGAAGGAAAAATCCTGGAGGAAAATGTGCTGCAATCCGCAAATGCACTGGGACTTGGATGACGATTCATCTTCCAACAGGACAATGACCCGAAACAAACATCAAAAGCGACACTGGAGTGGCTTAAAAGCAAAAACGTTCATGTCCTGGAGCGGCCAAGTCAAAGCCCAGACCACAATCCAATTGAGCATCTGTGGAATGATTTAAAAATTGCTGTTCACAAACAGTCCCCATCTAACTTGATAGAGCTTGAGCAATTTTGCCAAGAAGAATGGGCAAACATTCCAGTGTCAAGATGTGCAATTCTGACAGAGACTTGCCAAGAGACTAACAGCTGTAATTGCTGTCAAAGTTGGTCTTAGCAAGTATTAACTCTTACTGTATGCATTCAATTATTTTTTGTTTTTTTATTTTTAGTAATTTAGTAAAATGTCTGGATTTTTCTGGAAAGTTCTAACCTTTCAGTGAGGTAAAATTATTCAAAGTAAAAAAAATCTTTATAAAAAATAAACATTTTTCTCAAAAATTATTGGCACAATTATTGGCATCCCTAGAAATTCCTATGAACAAAATAGAATTTACATATATTCCTATTAATATTTTACCTTTTTAAGCACACCTGAGTCTTTAGGAACTCTTAAGCGATCATCCAATCATACAATTAGACACTACCTCCATGCCAACAAACTATTTGGAAGGCTTGCTAGAAGAAAGCCCCTGCTGTCATCAAACCACAAACTTAAGCGCCTGGAGTTAGCTAAACATCACTGGAACTTTGATTGGAACCGGGTTCTATGGTCAGATGAGACAAAAATAGAGCGTTTTGGCAACAAACACCAGAGGTGGGTTTGGCATAAAGGTCAAGGTCATGCAAAAAACAACCTAATATGCACTGTGAAGTATGGTGGTGGATCTGTGATTTTGTGGGGCTGTTTTTCTTCCAAAGGCCCTGGGAATCTTGTTAAGATACATGGCATCATGGACTCCATCAAATACCTGTCTTCCTCTGCTAGGAGGCTAAGACTGGATTTTGGCTGGGTCTTCCAGCAGGGCAATGATCCAAAGCATACCTCCAAAACCACACAAAAATGGTTCACTGACCACAGAATCGAGTATTTGCAGTGGCCATCCCAGTCCCCTGACCTAAACCCCATTGAAAACCTGAGGGGTGAGCTGAAGAGGAGAGTCCACAAGCAAGGACCAAGGACTCTGAAGGATCTGGAGAGATTCTGTATGGAGGAATGGTCTCAGATCCCTTTAAATGTGTTCTCCCACCTCTTCCAGCATTATAAGAGAAGACTCAGTGCTGTTATCTTGGCAAAACAAGGGTGCAAAAAAGTACTAAATGCAATAATTGTGACACTAAATGCAATAATTGTGTTTTTAGGAAACAATGTTTATTTTTTTATAAGGATATATTTTCCTTGGAATAATTTTACCTCACTGAAAGGTTAGATTTATCTTTTTTGCTCATGTTTACTAAGGGTGCCAATAATTCTGGAGTGCACTGTATATGTAGAATATTCCTAAACACGGGGTGGACAAAGTAGAAACACCGGAACGAGAAAAGAGATCAAGATCACTTTATTGGCCATATACAATTTCTTGTATTAGGAATTTGTCTTTTCACATACCCAAACTTGCTCTCCATGAGACAAAAAGACAGGGAGAGAAACTTGGGGTAAGAACACAGGATTAGCCATTTATACAGCACCCCTAGGGCTTTGTTAAGGGTTAAGGGCTTTGTTCAAGGGCCCACTGGAGTAGGATTCTTCTGCTGGCCACAGGATACAAACCGGCAACCTTCCACCCACAGGCGCAAATCCTTAGCCAAAGAGCCACTGCACCGCTTCCAAGGATTAAGGATTAAGGATTAAGGATTATAATTTTGATGTTAAATCACAATTAAAAAGGGTTCTACATACTAATTTCATTGCTAATCAGCAATGTGTTTCTTCTATAAAAGACCAACGCTTTGAAATCAACACTTTGTAGCGGTGAGGCTTATTAATAAGGCAGAATTAAGTGTTTCTGAGCTTTCCCAAATTAGGCCTCATTTCTCTGTTCATCTCTGTGGTGCAGCCACAGAGAAACCATGCAGGCTGATTTAGGGTTCCTTTGATAAAAGACAGCTCCCAAAGGGGGATGCACTTAGCTAAGCCTGGCTATCATGATCAATGGTCATCCATTGGCGCCTATCTGTCTAGGGAGTGCCAGTTGGACATCTGGACTGCATTACTAAGTGTCAGGACTAAGTGACTCATATCTCACCTTGATCAACCAATCAGGGACTGGTAGGGCCGAGTAACCCACGTGGGACTCTGATGCCCATTGAACTTTCAGCCAATCAACAAGCTGAAGTTCCTCCAGGTAAAAACAGGCAACACAGAGGGCCTGAGAGATTCGGGAAGATTCAGGAGAATTCTGTGGACTGTTCTAAAGGGAATTCAAAGGAGAATTCCAGGGCAGGACGGCCCAGGAGCAGAAGGCTCCCAAGGGCAGGACATCCTCGCAGCGCGCCTCCTGACCATCCTGAGACTCAGCCCGGACAACCACGGAACGGCCAGTGTGTCCGAGTGCCAGAACTTTCCTTTGTTCTAAGAGTCTAGAGTGGAGGTTGCCAGAGAGTAACCAGCAGCAGGCCTCGTGAACAGGTCGGAACTGTGGACAGCTGAATCACTATTCAGAACTAGCTCTTCATCAGGAACAAACCGGTCCTCTTCCTGACTTGCTGGGATCCACAGTCATCTTTTCTCCTGTGCACAAACTTTGCTAGTTAAAGCCAACAGTGAGCATCAGCAGCGCACCGTTGCAAGCCGCACAGCACAGCCTGGCACGGACCCAGAGAGCGCGGATTGGACAGCAACAGCCTGCAACTGTTTCTTTGTGCCCGCAGGAGATCTGAATCCCCAGAAATTGGATGAGTATTCAACTTCAATGCATTACAGCTCGAGAATTCAATTGTTATCCAAACCAGTTGATATCAATTTAATTCCTAAGAGTTATGTACTTGTTTGAGTATCTAATGTAGAAGTTATAACCAAGTTCATTTACGAAACGGTCTTAATGAATGATATACTGAACGTATGTCCTCTTGATATATGTAACTCTTTGTAACTGATTGAATATATACCTTTTGTATTCTGATAACCCTCTCGATAAGATCTCTTAGGTTTACATGGATATTCTATGTATTAATAAATGTATCCTCGTGTATTAGTACCTGTGTGTGCGCGTTGTTTGAGTTATGTCGCATGGTTGGATTCTAAAGCCATCAAAAGAATCAACTTTGTGATTTACTGCTACAATTAATAATTGTCTCAGTAAATGCCCAAACCCTACAGAACTGGTGCCTTCAGAGAGCCACTATGATTACATATTTGGCGTCCCTGAACCAGTTTTCCTTATAACTTTAATATGAGTTTCCAAAGCAACATCAGAAATCTTAAAGATTTTGAAAGAGGTCATATAGTTGCAAATTGCAGGTGCATCACTCACGTAAATGACAAATGTCAATGTTAAAAATCATGACAACATTCTCCATACAAGGGAAAAGCATTAAGAAAAAGGAACAGTGGTTGCAAGCCACAGCTCACCAACAGTGATAGGCTGATTGACCCAGTCACAATAAAAATGTACTGTATGTTGTGAGCTTAACAGAGCTGATATTTATGGTAGGGCTGCCTTTCAGAAACAGCTTGTATCCTAGACAAATGCCTGTTGTATGAGCACAAAACTAGACTTCTGAGCAGTGGAAAAAAGTAATATGATTTGATGAGTTGTCTTTTACATGTTTTCCTATATCTGGATGGGTTTATGTTTGGAGAAACCCAGAGAATGACCTCAATCCATACTGCCTGTTCCTAACTGTTTAACATAGTGTGGGATCTATTATGATATGGGCAGCAATTGTCATGGGAGTCATGGCCAAGAAAGACAAAGCCATTTTAGGTGACCTGGTCCACCCTATAGTGCAAACATTTTTACCTCAAGAAAAATGAGATGATAATAACCCCATACACGACTGCTAAATGGATTTAAAAGTGGTTTCATGAACACAAGGACAAAGTCAAATACCTTCCATTGTCCCCCTAATAACCAGATCTAAACATTATATTCAGGAACCTCCCTTAAAGATTTTTTCCTTCTAGAAGAATGTCCCAATTTCCCATTAGAAACTTGAATAACAGTATTCCAATAAGGACTGGAGCTTTTCTGAAGGTAAAGGACAGCCCAACATATTATTAGTTAATGAATATTCATACATTGTTTGGTTTCTCACTTATTTTGTCCACCCCCTGTAAATATTTGTCATAAATTATGTTTCTCAGAACATTATTTTTATGGTACCTATGAGAGATGTTCTAAAGTATAAAAACAGCTTGTAAATGGGTGTAGAGCATTATAAGAAAATGCCCTTTTTATTGCACTCCTGCTTGGCTCATGCTGCTTTTTGGGGGTAGAGCAGTGGCACCGTTGCTAAGGATCTTTGTCTGTAGCTAGAAGGTTGCCGGTTCAAATCGCACGGCCAGCAGAGGAATTCTACTCTGTTGGACCCCTGAGCAAGGCCCTTAACCCCAGCTGCTCCAGGGGTGCTATATAAATGGCTGACCCTTGGCTCTGACCCCAAGCCTCTTTCTCTCTTCCTGTGTGTCTTATGGAGAGCAAGCTGGGGTATGTGAAAGGACAAATTCCTAATGCAAGAAATTGTATATGGCTACTAAAGCGATCTTCTTACTTTTGATTGTTCCTGTTTGTTCTTCAGATATGGTCTTCTTAGTAACCAATTCATTTCAAAACTTTGCCAAACTGCATTGTGACTTCTTGCAGCCCTGTCAGTGAACTGGCAAAAAAACCTTTAAGCTTCATGTCACTAATCCCATGCTGTATTTCAGACACTATCTACAGTAGGTATGTAAGATGTGTAAGTTCTAGCACTATTATGTATTATGTGAGACAAAAAGATAGATTTTACACTGCAGTGTATTGTTGCAGTCTCAGGCAAAATTATTTATTTCCATAACTCTGAGAACTCCAAACACATGCTTATGAGTATCAGTTGACAAATTAATCATTTGTCTAAGACTCATTTTGGAAAGCAGGAAAGCAGTGCTAAGAAACATATGTCTGAACTACAGCTGATAAATATTTTACCCTTTTCAGAGTTTCTCTTATTATCTACTAGAGTAAAAATAATTGTCCTTATTGAAAGGCAGTAGTATAAGCACCTTGTAGTCTCATCTTGTCAGATCTCTGAAATGTAAACAAGGTTAGGAGTGGTCAGTACTAGATTTGGAAACCACCATGGAAATCCATGTTGCAGCTGCAAGTGGTGTTGGTAGACCAGTAAGCAGCACTCTTCCCAGACCTAAGGTCTAATATGGTGACCAGGGATACTGTACTGTAGGAGGGGCCATTCTTTAGATAAGACAGTAAACCAAGATCCTGATTGATTAATCACATGATAAACTTCATAAGGGAAGAGGTGTTATCTAGCATGGTCTGGATAAATTTGCTCTGTATTTATACAATCTGTTTCAAAGTGCCCTAATATTCCCCAGTTATTGCGTTGGTAAAATAATTTCATACTTCCCTGCCTGATCTGTTGTGTATTGTGACTTATAACTGCTGCCTCACATCATCTGCCACAGTGAAGCAACAGGTGGATGAAATGAGTACTACTAGATGTAAAGCATTTTGGGATTCTTTGTAAAGGAATTATAATTAAGGAATAATAGTAAAAAATGAAAAAAAACTGTCTGTAATCTACAATGAAGTCAACAGCCAGAGAAGATATTAAACAACTCTTGCTTAAACTGAGCATATAAGCCTAATTAAAATTAATGAGCAAATAATTGAAATATTTAAAATAATGAGGAAGTAATAGCAAATTAATATATAATAACAGTAATAATATCATATATAATAATAAACTTCTATCAAAAAGTTTTGGATTTAGAAATGCATTTCAGTTGTATAAAAAAGGATCTACTGTAGCATTAGTCAATTAGTGTAGATTAGCATTAATCTCATTTATATTGTGGACATTAAAGTACGTTCGCAAACAATTCCAATCTTTCTTTTCACTTACATTTGACCACTTCCATAGCCCTCAGGAAACACTCCAGCAGATACACCAACTACAACAGTAGGGATGCTGTACCCAATCAGCAAAAGGTAAGCAGAATGCAGCCCCTCTTTGTGGATGACCTTCACTTGTGCCAGGCTTCTCACCAGCAGGAAGAGCTGGAGGGCCTCCAGTAACATCCACACAAAACTGGCCAGGAAGAGAAAATGCAGGGCGCCAGCTATAACTGAACACAATGCCTAAAAACGAACAAAACATTCCCATCAACACTCTACTCTGAATACTACGCACTCCCTCTTTTTCCTCAATTAAATAACACAGAAGATGTTGGAGTTTCCTCCAAAATTTTCCATTCAGTGTTTTTTCAGACTTCAAATGCAATGAGATCGAGTATTTCTATTGTGTAAAAAATAAAAAAAACATTTGTAATATATAACTTATACATAGTTATTAATTGGCTATTGCACTCTTTTCTGAATGTTAGTTTTGTTCACATTGTTTACAACATTTTTTGTGAATATACCATTGTGTATTCAAGTGTAATGTGTTATTCTGGTGTTCTTAAGTACTGTTGGGAGGTATCTAGGAGATGGGATCACCATCTAGAACATCAGGGTATGCGGTTTCCATGTACTGTATATAGAAACCACAGCTATAAAACATATTACCTCTTTTCTGAATATCCATCCATTTTCTAACTGCTACTGTAAATCCAATTTCAGGGGGGATACAGGAGCCTTGCCCAGCAAACAACAGTGGCACGGTGGTTATCATGGCTGCCTCAGAGCTAGGGCGCTGGGTTCAATATTGGATGTATGGGGCTATCTTTGTGAGGTTTGTATGTTCTTCCTGTGTTTGCATGGATTTTCTTCCGGGCACTCTGTTTTCCTCCCACAGTCCAAAACATATCAGTTGGTAGACTTATGAGAAATTGTCCCTAGTTGTGAGTGTGTGCATTCTGTTTGCCTGCCCCACAATGGACTGGTGTCCTGTCCAGGGTGTATCCTGCCTTGCACCTGTTGCTTTATGGGATAGGCTCTGGCTTGCCATTACTATTTTGGAAGAAGCAGTTAGAAAATGGATGGATAGATGTTTGTTCATACATTAAAAATGAAATTTTCTACTATATCTGAGGAATTAAACTAGACAATAGCAGATTCAGATATGGTGGCAAATCACTTTTAATGAGTGATTTGATATAACCACTGGAGTTGTGCAAATGAGATTTGGCTTTACCTACAACATGGCCTACATTATCATCTATGGCTTAGAGGTTTTTAATCACATATATAGGGGCTCCTAGCTTTTATTTCAATTACTATACAAGTTTCCTTGTAGACACTCCACTCTAATCTTCAGAATTCTTTGGTAATCATCTTAGGCACCGTGATAAGTCATGTAATTAGAAACTAATTATGCTTAGTTTATTTTTCAGATCAATAAATTGATGCAATTAAAGAAAAGGGGAAAGAATTCATAAGGAACGTATTAAATCTATCAAAAATAATTTAATAGCAGGTTAGCTGCCCATCATATTTAGTAAGGTATCAGGAGATCAAACTACAAGCTAGGTTTTATTTTAGATTCATTTATCATTTATTTTTCCATAATTATTATACCAACCTGGATGTGTTTGTGTGCCAGGTCCCATCTACAATTTCCCTTCAGGATCAATAAAGTCTTATCTATCTATCAATGTTGCCCAAGTGATGTCAGTAATCCCCATAACATTACTCTGATAATACCATTAACCATGTTTCTGTGATCTCCAGTTGTGTCAGTCACCGTAACAGTGTTCTCCTTGCTCTCTGTATGATTTCTGACTTTGACGCAAGAGATTACCTTATTCTCAGTGTGTGATGCTCCCACCAGAAAAAGTAGCTGAGCCAGGAAGAGGCAGAAGCAGAGGTTGAGGCGAGCCGTGTTGTTGACTTTTGCACTCCAGCTGCAGAAAATAAAGGTTATAATGGCACAGGCAAAAAATGCCAGGCCTAGGATCACAGCAATATTGTTGATCCATTCCAGCAAGTTGTTACTCTGAAAACCAAAGAGAAAGTTTTTTTTTTGTAACAAACCCAGAATGTTTCTTTTCAGTATCTAAAAACTGCTTGGAAAAGCTAATGTTTTTAGACAGAGTATTAGATATAAATATTCACGCTAGGGAACTAGCAGAGAAAGCAACCATTCACATTGGACATATCATGTCTGTAAACTAATGGCTGTTGATAGGTGATCTCTGAATTATAATTTACAACATCTCCAGGTAAGATAAGAGTCAGTAAGAGCTGTGTTAGTGCTTCATTGTATATTAGTTAAGGGATCATAATGCAAATTGTGATAGATCTAGCAAGGCACTTTTTGAGAAGTGCACATGTAAATTGTATTACAATGTCAGATAATAATGTTAAAATGTTATTCCCCAGGACTCTTAACAGTATCCAAACCTCCAGGTGCATGGAGCTTGATTATTTGGTGAAGTGAGTTTGTCCATTACTCTTTTGGCCTGTGTAAGCCAGGTGCAAGGAGGTACCTAAGACATTGTACACACTATATGGGGACTGATGGCACCTCAAGCCTGCAATGCTGGTAAGAGAGTTGGACTTACAAAGCCATACCAAATGGCATCTGACAGCTACACTTTTACATGAGGGATGTAAAAGTACAAATAGTTGGCATCTCCACATTATACAAAATGAGAAGAAAACAATTCCAATCGCACATTTAAATTTTAACCTACATCCAATTACTATTACAGTGTGACTTTTGGAATATTTTTTTCCAATATTACTTGCACTCAGGGGTCTATGCTGATGATTTTTAAAAAAATATTATGGTCCATATTTAAGACTTTTCAAAGTTAAGGCTTATTATTTGAGATTTTGAAGGCCTGCATGAATTTGATTGAAAAATCTTCAACCATGCTGTTAACAAGTTGCTAGAAATACACATACCCCACTTTCATCTTTCATTTGCATTATGAGAGCAAAGGTGGAGAGATGGTTGCAGATGCACACTGTGTAATTTTCATTTGAGTAGTTTGCTGTGCATCCTTCCACAGACCAGAACTTATCCTGTCCTGCATCATTCCAGTAGACACAGGTCATGAGCCCACCTTCTGTCTTTGACTTGTAATGAAAAAAACAATATCATTTTGTATGCTGATGATCAGACAATCCTGAGAGAGATTGTGTCACAAGCTGCAATGTTGGGAAAATTCAGAGCACACTGAAATAACAGCAATGAATAATTCACTTTACCTTCTTGTGCTTAATTGTGAAACTAACTGGCTCTGAAAGATCTGTGATTTTTGTTTTGGGTAACATTGCTGCAATGACATCCGAAAACATTTCTGTCTGATTGTCAGTCTTGAGGAAGGAGGCACTTAAATGTTTCTCCATTCCAGTAAAGGACATAAAAGTTACAGCTGCGGATCCTGGTGAGGCAAAATTCACAAGTTGAAAATGGGCAATGTAGTCCCATGGTTACACTCACAGAAACAACAAAAACTACAATAATAAAATATCCAGCAGAATAAAATATTTTATCATTGCTTTATCCAATATACAGTAGGGTGTATCCAATATAGCAAGCTTCAGGATCAAGGAGGAATAGACTGTGGATAAGATGCCAGTCCACCTCAGGGTACATATACAGTAGACACAAATATGGACACTCTCACATCAGGGACTATTTTCCCAGATGCCAATTAACCTACCAGTATCTCTTTAGGTTTTGAAAGGACTCCAAGCAACCGAACGAAATCCACATGAACGTGGAGAGAACATACAAACTCCATGCAGATAACACTTCGGGAATTAAACACAGGGCCCTAGCACCGTGAGGCAGCAATGCTAACTATGGCACCACTGTGCCATCCTTAATATAATCTTATGTTCTGAAATAGAAATTTAATACTTCTGCAAATCAGGAATTTGCAAATAAGTCTCATGTTTCTCATTATGATAAGTTTAGAAGAACCTCCATCAAGTTCACATCTTGTTTAACAGTGTTACCAATTGAGAGATTAAGCATGAAAATGTAAGTCTGAAGTTTCAAAGACAGAGAAGTCATTTTCAGAAGCCACCTTTTTGTTCCACGCACAAGTTAAGAAATTGCTACTGCGAGCTTAAAAAACAGATGTCGAGCACAGGGCTCTAAATTTGGACACTGGTAGGGAGTTTCTCTCCTTTCCTGTTTCTTTTCTTGCTTCTGAACAAATGCTTTACTAATTGCAATTCCCAAGTATTGTACAGTTTGCTTGTCTTTTTCAAAATGTGTCAGTTACTGGGTTTTTATCTTTGTCATTGCCCTTTCACTTACATTTTGCAGCACCGTACAAGACTAAACCATCCGGAAGGAAACTTTATAAAACTTACTATTGTTGTTCATAGCAATCCCTGTCAGGTTGATTTCCATAGAATTTTCCTTTGTTGTCAAAATAGGGTTTTTGGTCAAATTTGCCTGAGGTCCAATTACAATCAAGCTAATCTCTAAAAGAAAAAAAAAGATTAAATTTGTATTTGGAGGGAAAGGTTTTTAACCTCCAGTGTTGTTATTCAGATGGAAAGTGAAATAAACAATCTGACTGTGACTGGAGACTCCGTTTCCCAATCACCTGGCACTTGTGAGGTATCCACATGTACACATACACACACGCAAACATTTCAGTATCTAAACAAAGGCAATAACTCTGGTTTCCAACGTAAACAAACTAGTCTGGAATTCCTGGGATAGCCTTGCTTGCTCTGTGTGCACACACAAAGTAAAGTAAGGTTGTTCCCATGTTATCAAAATTAATCATTAACTCAAACCAAACAACCATTTTCCTTTGTTTTAGAAGTGAAATGAACCATATTGGTGATCAACTCACGTGTTTCAAATAAATAAGTTGTTTGGATTTCTCACCGGCAAAATGGTTTCTCCCACAACCTGTAGGACCTGAACTTTGGTATGGCAACAGGGGCTGGCTTAGAAGTGCCTCTTTCAGGGTTGTACATGCGTGGATTGATTTGTTAGAAGATACCAAGAGGGGGTAGTATTTTCTTAAACAATATTTATGTACATAAAAGGAGTATGATGTTTTATTTTTGGTAATAATATGTTCATTGTATAGGTGTGTACGTAATTACTTAATGTGTATATCAGAATTCTGATTATTATTTGACTCTCTGTGGTCATTAAAAATCCCAGGGCGTTTCTTGAAAAGAGTAAGGGTGTAACCCTGGCGTCCTGGCCAAATTTCCCATTGGCCCTTACCAATCATGGCCTCCAAATAATCTCCGTCTATGAAATGGCTTCATTACTCTGCTCTCCTTCCCACTGATAGGTGATGTGTGGTGAGCGTTCCAGCGCACTATGGCTTCCGTCGCATCATCCGGATGGATGCTGCACGTTAGTGTTGGTGGAGGGGAGTCACCATTACCTGTAAAGCGCTTTGAGTGGAGTGTCCAGAAAAGTGCTATATAAGTGTAAGCAGTTATTATTATTATTATTATTATTATTATTATTATTATTATTATTATTGTTGTTGTTGTTGTTGTTGTTATGTAAAATTATTTTGCTTTATAGTGGAATATTCTAGGGGGAGGAGTTTAACCTAGAAAAGGAGCTCTTTAAGATAGGAGAGGGGAGATAGGAGAAGGTTTGTTGTGGGGTAGAATAGGAGCTGCCTACACAATTAATGTACTATAGCTTTGTGTTGTTTGTTTTTCCTGGATAGTTTTTTTCACTTTGTTTTTTCACTTTGTTTTTTTGGATGTGGACTTTGGGAACACAGTTCCTCTTAATAAACACCATTGCACGTCTTTGCAATTACGGCTGTGCCATCATTATTGTTACATTCTATCTATGCTTCTAAACTCTTCAAGGAGGAGACTGTGGCACAGGCAGTTCTCCAGCTGGTCCAGGAGATGGAGATTCATTACAGGGATGTCAATTCAAACATTTGACTCTTGTTTTTCCTAAATCTAAAGTGTTAGATTACAATTTCACTCTCTTTCAAGGTGCAACCTTTAGAGGTCATTAATTATACAGTATATATATATGTGTGTGTGTCACATGTCACAGATTACAGATAGTGCTGTTATGAGTGCCAACAAGGATAGTTTTCAGCTACTGTATATACCCAGGGTTTCTGTTTTCACTGTTTTGCTGGCCTGTGTTTCTGTTGGAGTGACCAGGGCAGATACCAGCATTTCTGTAACTTTCAGAGCATCATCAGCAACGTTGACTATGTCTGTCTCATCTCGACTTAACAGTTTCCCAGCAGTATCCAAAGCAGCAGTTAAATAGTTCTTCACAATCTGTGGGAATAAAATAAGGAACATCAATACTCGCTGTTTTTAGTAGTCTGAGGTTCTGTTCCACATAATTCAGTCTTTCAGATCAATGACCTAGGCCAAACATTTAAGGGTCTTATGAAGAAAAGGAAGTAATCTGTCCCTGACTGCTGTTTTGGTTGATATGACCTTATTCAACAAATACATAAATAGAGCATTTTTAGAATGAATCATACAGCGCAAAGCAACAAAAACACTATTAAACTGAAGTTTCTACTCATAACACCACATAAAAGGAATGGGTTTAAAATTATTTTCTGAATATTACATCATGAAACTTTAAATTTGTGCACTCCAATGCCTTCTTAGTATGAATTACTTGCAACTTGCAACTCATACTTCAAATACAAGGTCAAAAGATTACATCAAGATTTTTAACTTGAATACTAGGACAGTTATGGGGTTTAAAGGGAGAATATTCCAGATTTCAGATTTCATGTTGTTTCATTCTTTTTTAACATTATCTATGTATTGTGCCAAGGCTTGATTATTGGGTTTCATCTGCATAGTAATAAAATATCGCTATATGGAGAAAATATCTCTTTATAGAGATATATGGTGCTATACTGTAGATGTAAATAATTTTAGGGTAACGTACTGCAGATACTATAAAGAATGGAACGAAGAACAGGGCCATCAGGGATTTTCTTTCATTTGATCAAATACTGATCATAAAAGTATAAAAAGTGATGCAAGGGTAAAAAATAGTTATTTTTCACATTCGCAACTATGTATAGATCTGCACTCAATTGATACTATACATGCAGTAAACCATTCTCCCACAATACAGTAACTAGTTACAGACACATTTTACAACATTTTATTTCAGTTAGGAAAACCTGTATGTCTTTATCTTTATCCTTCTATGGTGTTAATTAATTTATATTGTCTTATTTCTACTATCTCCTCTCCTTGTGTGTTTTTTTTCTTTTCTGACTGTAAAGCCCTTTGAAAAGCAATTCTGATTATTCATGATGATTATGATGTTTGGTGAATGACTCATAACAAGATAAGACCAGATGCACTGTATATACAGCATGTACAATGGATCATAATCACACCTACAATTTAAATAGGATGAAATCATAAAATTTTGTACAAGGCCTGATAGACATATTTATGTTTGATTACCACTGCCATCAGATATAAACTCCAACAAAGTACACACATAGGGCACCTCTGAAGTGCAGCTTATGTATTGTTTGGTGTTCTATGAATAAATATAAAAAATCTACTTCTATAATGTATTTATTTTTTATTAAGACAAAAAAATCTATACTGACCCCTTCTGGAAGAACAATGTTTGGATTGTTTTTTAAATTATCGCTCATGCTATTGAGGAAGCACATCTGCTTAGACTGACCCTGGAAAAGAATGTAAATAAAAGTCAAAATTAAATAGAATAAACAAATGGAACTGTACATATTTAATGTTCATTAAATTTCTTTACACACTATGTCTATTTGTTTTAATTGTGACTAAAGGCGAGTTGTCTGTGGGTGACACAATTATGCAGTGGGAGCATTGCTGCCATGCAGTTCTGGAGCCCTGAGCTCAGTTCTAGGGGAGTGTGGAGTTTGCATATTTTCCCCATGTTCTTCTCATATTCCCTATGCACATTTTTGGTTAGTTAGCTTATGGGAAACTCTATACTGGATAAAGTGACTACAAAATGGATAAATGGAATAACAGCAGTTTAAATGGACCTGGAGTGTCAGATGAGGGCTTAAATCAATACTGGGTGCTGGTGAGGCATTACAGAAACAGAGAAAAAAACACACACACAAGATTATTAGTGAATTGGCCTCAATTGGGTGAATCCAGCATCCTGTATAAAGGTTAAGTGAGTGAATAGACCGAGTCAACTCAGTGGAGTTGGACTCTCACTGCCATGTTTGGCAAGCTAACAACAGTGCCTGAAGAGAAGACTTGATGCTGGGCTGAGCAAGTTACTCACTGACAGGTGTTTTACTGGGGGCAATCTTTACTGTCAGGGGAAAAGTGAGATACCAGCTCTCAGGGTAGGTACCAGCAGAATTCCACAGTGGATTGATCAATACAACAAGCAAGCTGTTCTAGGGAGTGCTTTAGTAAGCTTGTCCTTGTTTTACACCTTATTTTGGTTTCCTGTGCAGTTTTTATGACATTTGTGACAACCTCTTGACTTAAAGCAAGGCAGTTTAGTTACCAATACCCAAATCTTGGGAGCTATCTTTCACAAATGGCTGATAATACTGAAGAAATCCAGCATCGTCTGAAATCTGGAATTGCAGCTCTTGATAGCCAGAGAAAAAAGATGTTTAAAAAACATCACATCAAAACGTAAGTAAAAATGATGGTCTACCTTTTATCCATTATTGATTTTTTTTTATATATCGTTAAAACATGAACAGCATACTGTACTGGCAACACTTACAGGATAGAAGTAAATTTGAGATCCAATACTGTATGTCAGAACAAAGCATCTGAATAGGTAGAGTATGATAAAATTGCAGAGTACACAAGCAGACATAAGGTGAGAGAAAACTGTCATGATCGTTACTCCTCCTCTTAAGGGCGCTCCAGCCCTTCCTCATTCTGTCCTATTCCCCACACCTGTTCCTTATTCCAGCCCCTCTTTAGTTCCACCTTTAAAGCCAGACGCAGGCGTTTGCCCGGCGCTTCTCATTAAATCCCGTTTCGTGAGAGCCCGGGGTCCTGCTGCGTCTGGCTCCATTATGGTTTTAGTTTCCTGTTCCTGGTTCCTTGTTCCGCCGGTCCCGACCCTGGTTTTTAATTACTTTGGATGGATACCCTGGTCTTGGACGGGGACCTCACATTTTGGATTTCCCTTTTGGATTTATGCTTGGATTGTTTGCCCCGGACTCACTTCCCCTGGACACCTGCTCACCTCGGACACGCCCCCCTGTCTCCTGACCCACTCCTGCATGATATTTTTCCCTATTGTTTCTTCACCTTTCGGATCGTGTCATCTGCATAGGGCCCGGAAAGAACTGTTCCTGACAAAAAACTTGCTCAAGCTGTTGAAGACAATGTCTTGAAGCAAGTTATTGGTTTTATCAATTACCTTTGAGTTCATAAAAAACAATCTCCCTCACCCACAAGGGGCACTCAATTAATTTGAACACATTTTATTACCTTTCTCATCAGGTAGTGTTAATCCAAGCAATGCAACTACATTCAACTCCCACACCTCCCAACCCCCTGTCCCATACTTCCTTCTTTTCTCTTTAGTAACTCACATTTGGGCAATCCATTGAAAGCATCTCTTCCTCCAAACCTAAAAGACATAGAAAATCAAACAGAACATCCACGTTTTATGTATTTTATACATTAAAGTTGAATGTTTTCAATATAAAAACATAATTTTGCTTTTTACACAAGTATTTTTACTTTTGCACACTGTTATTCCAAATTCCCAGTTAATTCCAGGGGAGGCAATGTAAGTATCTTCACAGGAACAGTCGTAGCCTCCTGCAGTGTTGGCACACACTGCATCCAGACCGCAGGTCATTGACTCTCGGGCACACTCATCTATATCTGTGAAAAAAAAAATGTTAAAACTTGCAGTGCTTGCAGGGCTGGCCCTGGTCATAGGC